TTTGTTTTCTGTAAATATCTTTGAGCTTTGTTCTGGGATACACTTGTGGAAATAACTTAATCTATATGACTCAGCATTTTAAGATTTAGATTTTGTATTAGTTTTCTATGACTACTGTGACAAATTACATCAAATCCAGTGGCTTAAAATAACACAAATCATCCTATGTTGCTTTGGTTCCTAACTCCAAAATGGGTCTCCCTGGGTTAAATTAAAGCCCCTCTTTCCTGGAGGCTCAAAGAGAAAATCCATTTCCTTAATTTCTAGCTCCCAGGGGCCACCTACATGGCTTGGTTCATGGCCCTCATTTTCCAACTTCAAAGCCAGTAAACAAGTCAAGTTCTTTTCATATCACATCACTCAAAGCTTTTTCCACTTATAGTTAGGTCCAACTAAATAATCCAGGGCAAACTCCCCATTTCAAGGTCAGTTGACCTTAATTCCATTTACAATCTTAGTTACCTTTTGTCATATAAGCTAACATAACTGTAGATTCTGGGAGTTAACACAAAAATATCTTTGAAGGGCCATTATTCTGCGTACTATCCACATCTAGTCTTGAGCTAATAGTTCCTTACTACTAATGGAAAACCCTTCTGTTCTGTACTCCATGTCCTCAACTTAGGCAGTTCATTAGGCTGGAAATTCAGTTTTCCAGTCATAACTCTCAGGGTAGTAAGCTGAGAAGTTAAAGGGCTCACTTCATTTGTTTCCCATATTTCAAAGGTCATCATTCTTTATTGCTTGATATTAAATAACTAGGGTAGTTTGAATGTATCTCCCAAAAAAGTATGTGTTACAAAGTTAAATCCCATTATAGTAAAATTAAGAGGTGATTAGGCCATGAAGATTCTGCCTCATTAATGGACTGCTACTGTTATTGTGGGAGTGGGTTTATTATAAAAGGTTGACATCACATGGGATGACATAACACAAAGGCCCTAGTCAGGTACTAGCCCTTTGATCTTGACTTCCCAGTCTCCAGAACTGTAGTAATTAAATCTTTCTATATGTGTTTTTTTTTTTTTTTTTGGTACCTTTTTTAGGAAGGATAGCATCTTCAACAAATGGTGCTGGGAAAACTGGAAATCCATATGCAATAAAATGAAACTGAATCCCTTTCTCTCACCATGCACAAAAGTTAATTCAAAATGGATCAAGAAGCTTGATATCAAATCAGAGACATGGCGTCTGAAAGAAGAAAAAGTTGGCTAAGATCTACATACTGTGGGGTCCGGCTCCAAATTCCTCAATAGGACACCCATAGCACAAAAGTTAATAATTAGAATCAACAAATGGGACTTACTCAAACTAAAAAGTTTTTTCTCAGCAAAAGAAACAATAAGAGAGGTAAATAGGGAGCCTACACCCTGGGAACAAATTTTTACTCCTCACACTTCAGATAGAGCCCTAATATCTAGAGTACACAAAGAACTCAAAAAAATTAAACAATAAGATAACAAATAACCCAATCAACAAATGGGCCAAGGACCTGAACAGACACTTCTCAGAGGAGGACATACAGTCAATCAACAAGTACATGAAAAAATGCTCACCATCTCTAGCAGTCAGAGAAATGCAAATCAAAACCACCCTAAGATACCATCTCACTCCAGTAAGATTGGCAGCCATTATGAAGTCAAACAACAACAAGTGCTGGCGAGGATGTGGGGAAAAGGGTACACTTGTACATTGCTGGTGGGACTGCAAATTGGTGCGGCCAATTTGGAAAGCAGTATGGAGATTTCTTGGAAAGCTGGGAATGGAACCACCATTTGACCCAGCTATTCCCCTTCTTGGTCTATTCCCTAAAGACCTAAAAAGAGCATGCTACAGGGACACTGCTACATAGATGTTCATAGCAGCACAATTAACAATAGCAAGACTGTGGAACCAACCTAGATGCCCTTCAATAGACAAATGGATAAAAAAAAAAATGTGGCATTTATACACAATGGAGTATTACTCTGCATTAAAAAATGACAAAATCATAGAATTTGCAGGGAAATGGATGGCATTAGAGCAGATTATGCTAAGTGAAGCTAGCCAATCCCTAAAAAACAAATGCCAAATGTCTTCTTTGATATAAGGAGAGTAACTAAGAACAGAGTAGGGACGAAGAGCATGAGAAGAAGATTAACATTAAACAGGGATGAGAGGTGGGAGGGAAAGGGAGAGAGAAGGGAAATTGCATGGAAATGGAAGGAGACCCTCAGGGTTATACAAAATTTCATACAAGAGGAAGTGAGGGGAAAGGGGAAAATAATACAAGGGGGAGAAATGAATGACAGTAGAGGGGGTAGAGAGAGAAGAGGGGAGGGGAGGGGAGGGGGGATAGTAGAGGATAGGAAAGGCAGCAGAACACAACAGACACTAGTATGGCAATATGTAAATCAATGGATGTGTAACTGATGTGATTCTGCAATTTGTATACGGGGTAAAAATGGGAGTTCATAACCCACTTGAATCAAAGTGTGAAATATGATATATCAAGAACTATGTAATGTTTTGAACAACCAACAATAAAAAAAATTAAAAAAAAATAAATTTTAAAATTTGAAACAGTCTCACTAAGCTGCTTAGGGCCTCACCAACTTAGAGACTGGCTCAAACTTGGTGATCCTCCTGCCTCAGTCTCCAGGATTGCTGGGACTGCAGGTATGCATCACCACACCCGGCTTCTTTACAAATTTCTGAATTTCAAGTATTCTGTTATTACTGCACAAATAGACTAAGACAATGTCTGAAAACTATTGGTTCATACAGTGTCTGAAATATTGTTTTTGGTGGAAGGGTAAATCCAGTTCATGTTACTCCATCTTGCCTAGAAGCCTTCCTAATAATTTTTGGTTGGCTGTCAATCATTGTAGCTGTTTACCTTGTTGAGAGCTGGATATTTTTGTATCCTTGAGTTTTGTTCTAGTATTGTTTGCTCCTCCAAAAAATGTTTGAAAAGCTCTTTAGTTATAATACTTTGCCTTACTTCAGTGCTTGGCAAATGTTTTAGAACCATATGCTTCAGTTGAGTCCCCTAGCTTTAGTTAGTCTTTATGACCTTAGCATTATACATCTTTGAGAAATTTTAGTCTTTTTATAAGCTTTATGGTGTCTCTTGCACTTCCCATTTAGTAAGTGTCCTCTGGGGAAAAACCAGCTGCACATCTGAAGTCCCCCAACTCGCCCCTCTATTAGCTCATAATACTGCTAGGAGCTTTATTGTTTACCTCATCAGATACCCTCTGGCTAGGCAAAGGTCAATCCACAGCCCAGGCACATAATCAGCAAATGGCCCCAAAGGATAAAATGACTATTGATCTCAGTTCACTTTGGACAGTGCTACCTTTTCTCCTGAACTTTTAGTTCATCTAGTTTTAGTTGCTACCACAGTTCTCTGCTGCAACTAAAATTAAGAAGCTATGCCTCAGAATTCTCTGAGTTCAGACTAGCTCTTGATCTGGTGGATCTCTGGATTGTCAACTCCTTTTACTTCATCTACAGATATTCTAACTGTAAATCACCCTCCCAGACAATCTAGAGAATGCAGCTCTGCTAACTGAAGGAGAAAAACACTACCTTCAAGTTATCACAAACATTTCCAAACATTGTGTATTTAAAATGTCCTCAGCCTGTCCCAATTCCCTTTCTCTTATTTTCTGAGGCCTTGTTAAGAACAACACCCATGCCACTACTCAGTTCTAATCCCCAACTTGTAATTGTGAACAGAACTAGAACTTTTCAATTGATAACAAAAATCCCTGAAAACAAGAAGATAGAAATGTAGGGTCACAGTTTTGAGTTATCAATGTAGGGTCACAGTTTTGAGTTATCAATATCTGGAAATCAGAATTCCCCCACCACCCCCATAAGATCCAGGTACACAGGTCTGAAGTAATCTTCACTCTTTCAGGTATGCTTGCTTACCTGATCTTCTCATAAACTGTCACTATTAAGGACTTTGGAAGCAGCAGTGAAGGGCAATTAGGTCAAGAATATTTAAGAAGTATGTGAAATCTACTTGGGGTTTTAAAATATATAGCATATGAACCTCAGGCTTCTGACAAAGGAAAACTCAAGACAGGAGCTTCCTTCAGAATGCAACTGAATGCACGAAAAATGCTAACTGGACAGAAAACACGGAGCAGTTCATCTTCAGTGAATTTATCATATTATTCACTCATACCCTGAATAAGACCATCTTATGTGCATATGTGCTGCTGGATGAAGTTACCACAAAGGCCAGAGGGAAAGGGAAAGAGAGATTCAGGATGTCCATGAACCACTTGTCATTGGTCCTTGTCACTGCAGGAGCAGCAGGGCAGGTTTAGAAGGGATATAACAAAAGACCCCAAGCCAAGTAGACCAGAAAAAAGATGCTTTAGAAAGCACATGCCAATGCAAGTTTGGCCTTGATGGAATCATGCCGTCATTTTGTTTCAGTGACTAAGCCATGTTTAGGCATGCTTCCAGAGGTGGTGTCCACATGTCATCTACCACTAACTCTAGTTTACAGGCATTGTCTGGGCCTACTAGAGTTTTGTGGCTAACTATTTTGCTCCATTCCTATTATCACAGTTTTCTTACATGTCCTGTGTCATACCTCTACTCCTTCATTAACTTCCTTGTTCTCAAACTGTGGTCACCCCCACATTGTCATCCTCTTCTCTCCCTTAAGAAAGTTCAACTCAGTTGAATCTTTAAAGGACTAAATAAAGGGGAGCATGGTTGTTTTAGGAGAAGTACAGAAGCCAGCTGTGTTAGAACCCTGTGAAATAAAGGGACAAAACCCAAGAATGATCGTATTACACTCATAATCCCGAATAAGACCATCTTATCTTAAGGACATCTGATCTGCTGTCAGAATGAAGTATATAATCTATTTTCATACAATAAAGTATATAATTTGACAGAGAAAGCCAGCTAGGGGAGTCCAGGATAATGTTCCTCAAACCCTAAATTTTTATTAGAATCATGTGGGGGAGCTTAAAAAATACTTGTCTGGATCACACACCAGAGATTTCCATTTAATTGGGATGGAGGTAGTAGACTGGGGATTAATGTTTACAGAATCTTCAGCAGTGATATGAATGTACACCTGGGAATGACAATCATTGGTTTAAGATCTCAGATAATTTCACAGCATAATAGCTAAATGTGCAGTCAGTTCAGAGAAAATGCTGAAAATCAAATCAGTGACTTAGTCTGCATTCCCACAATTAATGATGGCATTGCCCAGTACAAAAAGAGGAGAAAATGTGGCAGATGGAAGGATATCACTAATGTCCCTGCAGCCATGAATTCTTCCCTTTATCCAAATGTGCCTGCCTAGCAATTTACATTCTTCAGATTCTGAGATTATCACGGCAGACAGATCTTGACAATATAGTCAGCAATCAGTAAATAACTTCAATATTATTGCTGTGTAATACTTTTATTAAACAGTTTTATGGGGAAAAACCCATATTTCTGTATGAGTTACATATAATTTTCAGGCAATTCAGGGTCCAGTGACAATTACATTTGGAGAAAAGGTTTAAAATCCATACTTGTTTGTATTCCACTCCTTTGTGAAATATTGAAAAGCAGCCTCTGTATCTCAGCATTAAAGGTTACTAAAAGCACCACTTAATGGGGGATCTCACATATTTTATTCCCTTCAAATTACAGTCTTTATCCCTCCTTTATGACAGACACAGAGCTATACTCCTTCCAGATGCTTTAGTGTAATACCAGTCAAAATTCTCTAATTCACCAAAATTCAAACAAGACTCTCATATAGGGGACCCAGTGCAGAGATTAGGACTAATCAATAACAATAAGCTTTGGTTGTCCTAAAACCGCAAGCTGGGTAAGGTGCTCTGTGAAGTGGAATAGAAAATAAGTAAGATCATCAACATCTAACAATATAGATATCCCTTGACCATCTAACTTGATACCTATAAAATCCATACTGTTTAGTATTTCACACCAATTTTACTGCAAAAAGTACTGTGCTATACATGATTCAAGTCAACACCATCTAATGTTGAAAGCAATAACAAAATTATTTTTTACTGAAGCTTATTTACTTCAAAGCACAAGTAAGAAAAACAAATCACACAAGGCCCAAATGAGAATCCTGGAGGGATTCCATTGCTCATAATTGGATTATACTAGTAACGAACTTGGAGGTTTTTTTTTCTTCCTTCCTTTTCTGTTAAAATTTTTAAAAAGATTTGGCTTTTTACTCCAAAAGTTTAGGTTCACTGCAGAAATCAGTTTTTCAATCTCCAGTTGTGACTGCCACTTAAGGAGAGACAAATGCCTAGACCCATAAAGTTTTGAAAGACCCTTATCCCTACCAGGTCCTTCATCCCATGGGTAATTGGAGTCAGCAGCCCCTGGTAGAAGACAGCAAGAACTTGGCTTTAAGGATGAACCAAAATAATGTTTGAATAAGTTAAATAGTGTTCATAAGCCCATGCCCCAAATCACTAAAATGTGAGGATGTAGAAATCTCTGAGAATAGGATATATTTCAAACACACACAAACATAGACTATTGCATATCATTTTTAGTTGAGGTCAAAATTTTAAAAGCCCTATTTCCCCAATAAAAGCAGGGAATTCAATCATTAGTGTTTCTCCTTCATTTACACCCCAGATTACTATAAATCCTGTCTGGAGATATCACTTCTTTCCAAACTTCACTTCATTTTAGCAGCATGCATGGAATACTGGCACTTTTCAAAGGTTTTCTCTCAAATTCTATAGATTTACAAGGACTAAAAATAACTGGAAAAAAAGTGAGTGAGTCTGGTTTCTCAGATCCTCTCAGAAACATCTTTTGGATGACTCTTTTACACGTTAATTACACAAGCATGTGCTAAAAAAGCACTGCAGGGGTGTTGCCTATAGTGGTTAAATCCCATTCAAGTCTGAACTTAAAGCAACCTACTAACTCTGGTGTGGAAGTTCTCCATACCAGTGAAATGACTAACCTATGTATTTTAGGTAACATTTAACTTAAGACTTTGGTAGAGTCCATCTGACAAATAAAATTAAAGCAGCAAATAGGAACAAGAAACAAAGGGAAAATGTTCCACATAACGCTAAGTTTTGTATAATGAGATCCAAGGATATATCACCAGGTTATGTCTGATTTAAATTTTCTTATAAAAATGGATTATTTTCAGTTACTTCGTCCTTTACTCCTCAACTTAGTCTTCTTTCTTTGCCCCACAATCACAATACCATACTGCTGTTGTTAAGGGTCAGCCACCTTTTAAGAACTATCTTCTTATCCTGCCAACTATGACTTAACAAAATTCCTAGAGGTCAAAAAAAAAAAAAAAAAGGTAAAAAATTTATTTTTGCTTTCACTCATTTTCAAATTCTACCACTCTCTTCTAAAGAAAATAATTTATCTCTTTAACTAACCAATATAAAAGGGTGAGTTATCAGGCTCCCTTTCTTCCTCCCTTTTCCCCTTCTAGAACAGTTTCTTGGTGACAGACCAAAATAGGGTATCTCAGGGCCATTTATTAGCAGGCTAGAAAAGAAACTGTGTTGAAGTAGTCACTACCCAATTCCCCCTATACATCCCTTTCCATACCTACTGGTAGTCACCTATTTCACATCTGGCTGGGAAAGAAGAATTTGGGAAACAAAATCTGTACATTTCTACATTTAAATCTGAAGATCACCAACAATAAAACATACTGTCATTAGAGCCAGACCAAACTGACAAGAAGCCTCTGGTCTGAGACACATAGAGGAGATTTCCTTCCCTGTCCCACAATACTGATATACCCATTTGGAGTAAAAAGTTTAATACATGAACACACAGATAATGGCATTTCAGTACTATTGACAAGAAATGAATATGAGAGAATCCTCCATGTAACAACCAAGATTTTAAATCCTTCTAGGTGGCCCAATTACTTAATGGATATTGGGTAAGAACAAAATTCCAGCACAACTAAAGACTATATAGGTCCTGAGAGTTGGTTAAAATAGGATTTGACCTGGATTTTTATAATGGCACACCACTGACAAAATGGTTTGGACCATAAAAGGTTCTCCACAAAAACCTTTTATTGCAGAAGGTGGCTTTGAAAGGCAAAAGCAGTATCTACTCTCCACAATTAACCACCAATGCACTTAGTAGGTTGCATTCCCTGCTAAACTACAAGCCCACATCTTATTGCCTCATACCTGGGATCAAGGAGGTCTAGATTCCCAAAGATAACTGAATTGTCAGCTTTGCATGGAAAAAACAAGAGGTAGCTAAACTGACCTGTAGGTGCCCTTTCAGTGTGGCTGGGTTCATCTTAGCAGTCAAGGAGTCTCTCAACCATCAAGTATGGCCTCCTTCAAGGTTGAATGTTTGACTTGCATTTATCTGTAAAATGGAAGAGCCAAGATACTTGGAAAAAATGTCTTATCTCTGAACCCCAAGGGTGGATTGAATACTTTTCAGTTCATAAATGGAAATCAGTGACCCTACCTCATTACTAAACACATTTTTAAAAAAGAGGCAGAAAGAAAAAAGTGATCTTCTTACTATTTAGTACAAAGACCCTTCCAGGAATACTTTCTTGCCTCATGGCCTTTACATCTTAACAGCTGAGGGAATCCATATGTGTATCAATGAGTCCGTATGAACTTGTATCAAGAGCAGTACTTGGGATAAAGACGAACATGGGTCTGGCCATATTAACATAAGAGTATAGTCTCCTCTAACTAAAGAAGAAAATCTTAAAGACCATTTATTAAAAGCCTTAAGTTCTCTAATACAGTCTTTTAAGACCAATGAAAAGGAATTTTTTTAATTAAAGAAAAATGCAGGCACATAAAAATCTTTCAAGGATAAAAGTCCTAGAAGTGTTCCCTGGTCCATGTCTATCTGCAGAGCTGTCTGCTCTGAGAAAGCATAACTGGAAGCAAGGCCAGGCCAAACAGGAAAACCTATGTGCCATACAGTCAAAGCTGTAGTAGCAAATTAAAAGAAAAAAATAGATCTTCTGCGTATGCCTTTCTTATAACATTGAACCCATATTTTCTTTAGTAGAAGTTTAAAACACAAGTGGTAACAAAGTGGCTTGGGCTTCTGGTGGGCTAAAAAGGAGATATTCTGACAACCATCATCAATAACGTGGGTCAGGTCCCACAGAACTTTCCAAAGGGGTCACTTACTGAAAGAATTTTGTGAGGGGTCAGGTATGGGATCTGAAGGAGGCTATTAAAGGAAGAATGTGAAATAAGAGAACAAAGCGTTCTTGTGAGGCATTTGTTATATCAAAAAACACAGACTGTGCCACACACTGTGAAAATACAGAGACCCCATGCAAGAGAAGCTGCCCCTGCGAGGCAGAAGCTATAAGTAGGGCAACAGTCTAGCCCAAGTTCATTTTTTGGACACCAAAGGTAGCAGTGGTAGAATCTTCACCCAACAAGAGTTTGCTGTTCTTTCATTTTAGGGAAAAAAAACTCCCTGTACAGTTATCTCTATAGCTCCCCAAAAGGGGTCCTGGTGAATACCCATAGCTGGGGCTAGGAGGCTTCCAATAACCTTCCCTTCATATGTATATGTTTTCTTCTTAAAATAAATTCCATGAACTCATAAAGCTCTCATCTGCAATCAAATGCGAAAGCAGAGCATCCTACTCAGAAGCTCTGAAACACACATATTGGCCTGAAAGCAAATCAGCCTTCCAGTCTCAGGTAAGACTGGTTCAGTTCAAAGGCAAGGGAGAAGCTTCTCCTGAATCCATGAAGGCAAGACAGGATGGCTTCAGATGGGTTTGTACAGCAGCGTAGTGACATACTTCTTCTTGTAGCGATGGGTTGCACTAAGAACCATCACACTGTCCTGCAGAAAAAGAAGCACACGCAGTTAATTTCTTAGTTGCTGTGGGAGGCAGATGTTCCCAGCCAATAGTACTACACAGCTATTCACTGTCCACAGAGATAATTTGATGTAATAAAGAGGTTGATTTTAGAGTCAGATCAACTTCAGTTCCAAACTGGACTCCTATTGTTACTGTATTTGTAGCCTTGGGTAATCTACTTAAGGTCTCTAAGTCCTTTTTTCCCTCATCATACAGAGAATAACACCTACCATTAAGGTGGTCCAGATGATTACACAATATCTGACACAGTACCCAACACATGAAAGGTGCTAAAGAAACTACTAACTTCCCACTGTTCTTCCTTCCTCATTTCAAATTCTAATACTGAGCTTAAAACTAGCAAAGAAAAAAGAAATACACTGGCATTAATTTCTAGAAGGAAATCTTAAATGCAATGAGAAGGAAAATAATCCTTCTAAAAAAATCATTTCAAAGTCCTAAAGCAGGCCTAATTTCCATTTAATATCAGGGTTGTACTTGGGTTGTAGCTCAGTGGTAAAGCTCTTGACTAGCACATGTGAAGCACTGGTTTGTCCTAAGCACCATATTAAAAAAAAAAAAAAAAAAAGAGAAGCATTAAAAAAAAACCCTCAGTCTTCATTATTTAAAAAAAAAAAAAAATCAGGTTGAACAGAAGAAAATAAATCCTGATATAGAAGAAACTGAGGAATCCTCTTCTCTCTCCTTGAAAAAAATATAGATAAAATCCTCCTTAGAAATACATTCAAGAGTAAGAACTACCATTTCCCAGACTATGTTACAACATGTGGATAAACCATAGGAGGAGATGGCAGGCTTGTGACTTCAATTGACAATCAACAAGCAGTTATAGGAGACAAAATTCAATCAGAACCAAAAAACCCAAGCCAATCCAATTTAGAAACCAATATATCTTCCTACCTTCCCCCCATACTATATTATCCATAATGAATGCATCTTAGGTTTACACACTGACCAAAGTATACTAACATAGCCTAAATATGATAGAAGGCAGGTAAAAATCAACTTCAGTTAGGCATGCCTGTAATACTAGTTCCTCAGGAGGCTGAGGCAAGTTCAAAGTGAGCCTAGGCAACTTAGCAAGATCCTATCTCAAAATTAAAAAAAAAATGCTAGAGTAGAGCTCAGAGGTAGAGTGCTTCCCTCGCATGCACAAGCCCTGGATTCAAGCCCTAGTAAAATACACATGCACATAATCCCAGTAAAGATTTTATAGAAATGAGAAGCAGGTCAAAGAAAGACCTATTTGGTAAACCTGGCATGATGATACAGAGGAAATAACATGGAATTAATATAAGAAGACAGGACCTCAATCCTATCTGTTACTTACTGGCAATTTGACCTTCTCTGAGTCTTAGTTTATCTATAAAACAGGGGTTAAAAATAATACTTATCTTACAAGGTTATTATTATAAATGAAATTCAACAATATATTTTTAAATTTTCTGTATTACCATATAATCTATTCATCTTGGCTCTACCAGTGATTTCCCTAATCTAGCTACACATCTAAGAAATAAAAGCAGCTTGCTGGGAGCAGTGGCACATGGCTATAATCCCAGTGACTTGGGAGGCTGAGGCAGGAGGATTGCAAGTTCAAAGTCAGCCTCAGCAACACAATGAGGACCTAAGCAATTTTGCAAAATCCTGTCTCAAAATAAAAATAATACAAAAATGGCCAGGGATGTGGCTCAGTGGTTAAGAATCCTGGGTTCATTCTCTGGTACAAAAAAAAAAAAAAAAAGGCAGTTTAAAGGAAAATCACTGTGGCCAGATCTCAATGTACTTTTTTGAAGACTTTGGAGATGGAGCCACTGAATCTGTATGCTCACAAACTTCTCCAGGTCATTCTGATGATAACCAGCTTATTTTGACAGTCACAAAGCTATATAACTTTATTCTAATAGCCAAACCAGGCATGACAAGACAGAACACAACAGATATTTTCATCCCAGACTCTAAAGCAACAGAGAAAGAAAGGAAGACTCTAGAGCTAGAGGGAACAAGGCAAGTCTGGTCACTTTCTCATTTACCTACTATATAAGAAAGAAGCAAGCATTCGGGTATATATAACAGAGACACCTAAAAGTAGTTCAATTCCACATTTAAAAAACCAGAAAGAAGTCTTACTATAACATTCAAGCATTCTTTGAACTAGAAACTAAACTTATTTTTCTGCAAATGAAATCTTACTGCCATGAACTCAAATAAATAGGTGGTATAAAGATTCTACCCACCCCCACAAAACTGGGAAACAAAAAAGATCATTTAATTACTGGACAATTCAGCTAGCCAGAATTCTGACACAGAAACTGAGATTTAAAACAAAGGATGCATTAGCTAAAAAAAAAAAAAAAAAAAGAAGAAAAAAAAAAAGTTTTTCTTAACCACTGCTGTCACCTTCAGCTAGAAGTAGTTGAGCAAGTAACCACTGCACAGTATATGTTACCCTTATCCTCTCATATAGGAGAGATGTGAAGAAACAAGGACAACTCTTACCTTAATAGACAATGCATAGAGATGGTTCAGCATAACATGGTTGGGCTCAGGAAGTAAGGCTGGGTCACACTAAGAGATACCAAAAAAAAAAAAAAAAAAAAAGAAAAAGAAAATCATTAGTTGCATGGACAACAAAATAGCTTACTCTTTCTCAGAGCTCTTTGGCACTGTTAAGAACACCTTATCTCCTTTCAATAATGTATTCACTCCAGTGCGTATCAATAATACATTCTTATTACGGAAAATTCTCAGTTCAGTGCAGAAACCCTAAGCATCAAGATGTGCTATTCTTAATAGAGCTGAAACAAAAATCTTGCCTACAACAACTATGGGAGATTTGCACTAAATGACAAAAATAATTTCAGTGAGAATCAATGAGAATAAATACAGAAGTCAATTATATGCAAATAAAAATTATAACTCTTTTGTATACCCCCAAGTGATAAGTATTCCTTATCTCATGATGGAAATCTCAGAAATTGGTTCTAGAATACAGTGTGGTCCTGATTTTTTCAAGAACAGAGACAACTATAAACTTTCATTTTAGTTCCTGAAGATACAACCCAGCCTTGGTAAAAGGAGTTTATAACGATATTCCTATATATATAATTCATAATCTCAGTATACCTTTATAATAACCCCAATTTCTAGGATTACTGAATTTTGGCCCAATTAATCCTACAGTTCCCCCAAATGCTCCAGCAATATTCTCTGGATACTTACAGAAATATTAGTGTCCTTGTTAAGAATAACTTGGAGTAGGTGAGGAGGAAGGATGGGTGGGGATTTGAATCTCTCTTCAGATCGAAATACATACATTTCTTGACCATAAGGCCCTGGGGGTGAACTGGAAAGGTCTAAAAGATATTTCCACAAATATAAGGCAAAGTAGGAAAATTAGGATAATGCATGAAAAAAATACATGGCCACTAATATTAAATATAGAAGTCATGGATCATAATTTGTAACCCATTGGGTCTACAAGTGTCAAGTAGCACAAGGAAAAAGTTCCCAACACAGAAACATGATTCCATGAAGAGGAGAGGGGTCCTAGGCCTGAGCTCAGAAAAGAGCTACCCCATTTGTCATCTACACAACCTTGGAAAATCCCTTTACCACAATCATTTTCCTCATCCATAAAAATAAAAATAATCTTTGCCCTATTTCCCAATATTTCCAAAGAAATCAAAAACATAATAAAAAATTTACAAAATTTGGGGGCTAGAGGTATATTGATCAGCGATCGAGTGCTTGCCTTGCATGTATGATGCACTGGGTTCAATCCTCAGCACCACATAAAAATAAATCAATCAGGGCTGGGGATGTGGCTCAAGCGGTAGTGCGCTCGCCTGGCATGCGTGCGGCCGGGTTCGATCCTCAGCACCACATACAAACAAAGATGTTGTGTCCACCGAAAACTAAAAAATAAATATTAAAATTCTCTCTCTTAAAAAAAAATAAATCAATCAATCAAAAATAAAGGTATTATGTGCATCTACAATTGAAAAAAAATACTTAAAACATTTACAAATTTTTGATTATATTCAAAAGAATTGCAAAGGATTATTTTTTTTAAAGTCTTTTTTTTTTTTCTTTTTAAAATATTTTTGAGTTGTCAATGGATTTTATTTATTTATTTATTTATATGCGGTGTTGAGGATCCAACCCAGGGCCTCCCACACGCCAGGCAAGTGCTCTACCACCAAGCCACAACTTCAGCCCTATTGTGTTTTTTTTTTTTTTTTAAAAAAAAAAACTACTTTTCCCCAAGGACTACTAACTTGTAGGGCCTCATAAAACTATAGAATTGTGAACTGATTTATCAAAATAACAAGATTAAGCTGAGTAGTTTAATAAGACAAATGAAGCTCATCTAACCTCTGCTGGGTGATACCACCAAAAGTCAATGGAAAACTTGAAATATTATTAGAGTTTTCAAACATTAGGCTAGAGCCCACTAGTGGGCTATAAAAAATACAATAGCAGCCATGTGCTGTGGCATAAGCCTGTAATCCCAGTGATCCAAAAGGCTGAGGCAGGAGGATCTCAAGTTCAAGGCCAGACGTAACAACTCAGTGAAACCCTGTTTCAAAATAAAAGGGGTTGCCAGGCATGGTGGCACACATCTGTAATCCCAGTGGCTCAGGAAGCTGAGGCAGGAGGATCGTGAGTTCAAAGCCAGCCTCAGCAAAAAAATCAAGGTACTGAGCAACTCACTGAGACCCTGTCTCTAAATAAAATACAAAATAGGACTGGGGATGTTGCTCAGTGGTCATGCGCACCTAAGTTCAATCTCTGGAAACCCCTCCCAAAAAATAAAAAAATAAAAGGGGTTGTGGTTGTGGTTCAGTTGGTAGAGGGTCTCTAAGTTCAATCCTCAGTACCAAAATTAATAACTAAATAAATATTTTTAAAAAACAGAAAAAAAATACATCACATGAAATAAAGGTAAATATTAAACCACATATTATACTTCTGTATGTTTTTGTATTTGTGTACTGGATCGCAATGCAAAATAAATGTCTAACTGTAAATCCTGGTTAAAAAGTTAAAGTATACCAGACTGAGATGTTTTTTGCTATATATAAAGAAGAGGACCTAAATGTTTAAGAAATATGTGTGTATATATACATATGCACATATATACAGGATTCAGAAGATAGAATTCTGAGAAGACATGGAAATACAAAACAAAATTAAAAGACCACTTTCATGAAGGAAATTTAAAAACCACTTTTGGGTTACAAGAAATACATGGCAAGAGAGAGCAAATACTATAAAATTACCTCGACAAGATGTCTCAGAACTTTCCATAGAATCTAGTTTTAAAGCATCAAACACCTCAAAATCAGATTTCTTGACATGGATCAAATTGTTAATCGTACCAAGCTGACTGGTAACCACAGGCTGAAATGATAAGCAGAAAAAAAATTCTTGAATCCCCTTTTCAAATCCCTTTCTTCCATCCAACCTCCTCTTTGTTTCTACTAAGGGTGAAAAATGATCATAATCAGAACCTCCATCTTTTATCGAGAGAGGAATTCTCTAGTATAGGGGAACGGCTACCCATCAATTCAGACAGCAATGACAGTTAAAATGAGGCTACTAAGTCATGGGGACCTTTTTAGATCAAAGACTTACCTCTGATGGATCATGAACCCACTGTCCATCTACAAAAAACTTGTATTGGTGCTCTCCCTCGGGGAGGTCCAAGATGGCAACGAAGTCATTATGGCTATAGAAGAAAACAGAAGGCCAAACAGTCAAGTTCCTTTTAGAAGACAGAATGTTAAAAAACAAGTGGTATTTACGGTATCATACCAATGACCTCTCATATCCCTAAGCCACTGTATCCCTCATGTAAAAAAAATAACGTATAAAATCAGGTCTTTTTTTTCTATATCATCTTGGATATATATTTGCCAACCCTTCCAAAAATTCTGGTTCTTAAATCAATGTTTAGAAAAAAATAGTCAACGATCTCCCAAAATGGTTCACCTTAGTATAACTATTTTGCTCCTGTAGAACAGATCCATCACAAGTATAAAAACCATAACAATGAGGTCTGGAATATAAAAGTACTTAAAATACTTTCCGTATTTTGGTGAGCCATTACTAGAAAACCAATTAATTCACTATTGCTCTGCAAGCACCAAATAATACTACTACAGCAAACTTCACAGTGCATTTTGCTTTAGTGCAGAAGTCAGAGCAACAGATTCAGTCAGTTACAGATTTCCTCCAAGCATAGAAAAGACTTGTGTAAGGGCTGGGGTTATAGCTCAGTGGCAGAGCACTTGCCTAGCATGTGTGAGGCACTGAGTTTGATCTTCAGCAGCACATAAAAATAAAAATAAAAAAATAAAATAAAGGTATTGAGTTCATCTACAACTGGGGGGGGGGGGAAGACTGTGTAACACCATCCTAAAAAATACACCCACCAAAACTGTTACAAATTCCCCTGAGGTAATGATATTCTAAGAGGTAAAGCATATGACTCACAATGAGGTTAAAATACAATGCCATTGGGCTGGGGTTGTAGGTCAGTGGTAAAGCGCTTGCCGTGCACGCAAGAGGCCCTAGGTTCAATCCTCAGAACCACATTAAAAATGAAGAAGAAAAAAAAAGCCTATTGCTAAAAACAAAACAAAACAAAAAACAATGCCATCAATACTAAGTGGTCACAGAAAGGGGCATATTCTAAAGAGAACATCTAGTGAGTGGAGATGGGAAGTCCAGCCTGTTCACTCTTATTAAAAGGGAAATCAGGTCTCTATTCCTGGATCCCTTAGCCTCAATCAAGACACTTATCTTCTTCACCTCTTAATCAGTGGAATCTTGGTGCTCCAGTTGTTGAAGGACCCAGAAATGAAGACCTCCTTGCCTCCTTCAGACCAACGGATAACAGTAGGCCGGGCCTGCTGCGTAGGCTTTACAGAGTCGTCCAAATCTTGCTGCCATGATACAAACTCTTTGTCCCCAGGGAGCTGTAAGAAGGAGTAGGTCATCCCTAGAATAAATTGTGACCCAGGAATTCTTAAAAGATCATTCTCCTTTATTAGGGTAGAGAGGGGTGCTGGGCTTCAGCTATGGAGACATGCCTTAAAATTAGAAACTAAATCAGATTTTTAACAAACCATAGGAAAAGAACTCATCTTGAACCAAAAATAGTCAAATGGCTTATGCTCAAGTGCTGCATGAATCAAGAGTCTAACTTTTGAGTCTGCATATATTACTTACCCTGTCAGAGCCTCAAGATTGCCCTTAAAAAAAGGAAAAGAAACCCTACTCCCCTACTGCCAGTTTAACTCATACACAGGCAATTATGACATGCTTCTGAGTACCTCTTAAGAGAGAAAAAAGAAAACAAAAGATAGCTATATTTTTAAAAAATGTCAGGTATACATTTTTCACAAGCAATTATAAATAGCTCTCAATTATCAGCTGTAATGAAAGTTACAGATACCAAATTTCATAAGTAATTTATAAACTCTATTTTAGCTAATAGGATACACAATGAAGAGACATTAAAAATTTAATATCAAAGGTCTGGGGAAGCAGCTCAATGCCAGAGCATTGCTTAGCCTGTGCAAGGCCCTGGGTTCAAACCCCAGAACCACAGATTAATCAGTTAATTAATAAAAAGAAAACCAGATCATTGATTTTATAAAATGGAGAAATAGTGGGCTGAGGATGTAGCTTAGTGATAGAGCACTTGGTCTAGCTAGTGAAAGGCAGTACTGCGGGAAAAAAAAAAAAAAAGTGGCTATGAAATCTTACTTGCTCACCTATGCCAGGTTTAGTCTATTTGAGGTACAGGAATGCAAATTTTGGCACCTCAAACAGCAAAAGATAAAACAGTTTCCTTTAACAAAAACAATTATGTAATCAAATAAGGTTTGCGTGATTCTGAATAACATTAACTCCTTAGTTTTTTGTTTTTCATTACCATCCTTTAGACCAGTAGTTGGCAACTACAGCCAGTAAGCCAAGTGCTTTTATAAGGTTTTTACTGAAAAACAGCTACATTCATTTGTATACCTATTATCTACAACTGTTTTCATGCCACAGTGGCAGAACTGAGCAGTTGTGAAAGACTGAGCTACAAAGACTAAAATATTTACCATGTGGTCCATGTGGTCCTTTACAGAAAATGTTTGCTAAGCCCTGCCTTAAATTGGCTTAAACTTAAATTGGTAAACAGATAAATAAGATCATACAGTGTTAAGTAAAGATATTACCAAACAAAATAATGTGCATTAAAAAAAAATGACTAGCTTATTTACTTGGGCTTTTTTTTTGTGGGGGGGCGGTTGGGGGAAATGGAAAAGTCTACTTTTCCATACTTCTCTCACTATTTCTCAAAATTACAATATGAGAAACTAGGCACATAATCTAAAATAAAATCTAAGATCCATGGATATAGCAGACGAGAGGCCCTGGGTTCCAGCCCCCAGACAGCAGAGTAAGTACTTAATTAACTAAAAGGAAAAAAAAAAAAAGCTGAAAAAAGAAAACTGAAGGAGCTTTTATATTATTACAAGGAATTAGCTTAAGAGAAAACCTAGTCTCCATATTCTCAAAACAATGCATTTTGTCTGACTGGCTGCATTAGAATTTCAGGAATTTTTGCATATGCCTAAGAATAATCTAAGATTGCAATTCAGATACAGGATCTGGAAATCTATTTTTAAAATCATCCCAGAAAAGACTTTGATTATGTTAAAATAAAGAAAAAAAATCTCACCTTTTGGGGTACATTAAAAATACAGAAATTTGTTATGACATTTGGAATTTGCTTCAAAAAAAATTGGTGGAGAGACAATAGATTAGGGTATGGTTGATATACATTCATTTGTGCTTTATCAATGTCTAAACTTGATGAGAGGTACACAGAATTCATTATACTATTTTCCCTACTTTGTAAATGATTCAAATTTTCCATAAAGTATTTAAACAAATCTCAGGTGATTCTAATACACAAATAAGATGAGAACCATTGAATTAGTCTGCTGGGTGGTATCCAATGTAGGCCCCATGGCTACTGTTTCTATCAAGTATTTTACGACTTAGGATTTTTCGTTTAGAATCTGAAAGCCACAAACTACTAATGCTCCAAATTTTGGAGCAAAGCCCTTCCATTTATGACGTGACATTTCTGTGGTAGGAAGGAATGCTGCTGACTACCAGAAAAATTGATTAAAGTAAAACAGCAGAACCACCAGGGAATAAAAGACAAAACAACAACTAAAATTATAATTTGAAGAGGTTTTAGTAAAATATAGAGGCAAAGAAAAGGGTAGGGTAAAAAAACCTTAGATTTGGATGGGATTAAGAATTATATGAACCATTTTCTTATTTTCCAAATGGCAAGACTGAAGTGAGGGAAAGAATGATCCAGAATAGGCCCCAATTCACACAGAACAACTTGGTTTTTATTCAAGACACCAATGACTTCAGTCATAGCTTGACAAATACTTTGACAAATACAATGTACTTAAATCCTGAGTCATTGATGTAGAAAAGCTGTAAAAATACAATGAGGTCCATCACCTTGGGAAAGCTTAAAAGAAGTAAATACATATGACTGGGTAGACAGACCAAATGAGGAGGAAAAAGTTCTGAAGTGGAAGAGAAAAGAAAGGAATGGAGAAAAAGCCCCCAAGAAATGCTCCTTTCAATCACTCTCATTTCTCCTTCTATGATCATGTTCTCAATTGGGATCCAAAAAAATTAAACCCTAGTATCCAAATTTCATGCACTACCACTATGGCAAATAAAACTAAATTCTCTCCAAAGCTTCCACACATACCCCCAATCACCTCAATCCCTCCATTTTTCTATTTCATCCCTGAACAGCCTACCAGAAAGAATTAAAAGTATTTATGCTGACACTTCTAAGTGATTAGAAACATTAGGATGGTAATCACATTGCTGTCAGCTCCATCTGTCTTTTCTGTTAGGGTGAACACAAGTGGCCTCTTCCTGTAAGTCCTTCAACTGAAAGCAAGGTCTTCAGGTGAATGAATTGTTGCTTTTAGGCCAAGGAAATATTTTGAAGGACTATTGCAGATTGGAGCTATCTGGGAATCACTGGCTCTCCCACTGGAGAAGCTGGCCTGAAAGCACATCCTGTCACCACAACTACAAAGTATAGGACAAAAACTGAACAGTCAACTAAATGATGCCCTTTATTGATCTTCAAGACTAGGCACAAATATTCAAGTAAATGAGTGGTGACTGGTCACAACCAGGCCAAAAGGGATAAGGACCCAAAGTACAGAGTTCCTAAAAGAGCAAAAGGGATCCAAACAAACAGAAAATTCCGGGGGGAAAAAAAAATCAAGGAAAATGTAAGTTAGGGCCAGCGGTTCAAATAAATTACCCTCACAAGTTTTCCACCAGAGTCTACAACCTATAAATTCTCAGAAGAATCAAGGATGGTGCAGGCGGGGAAGGTGTCTATAGTCCCTGCCTTAAAAATGTGTCTCAAGGCTTAGTTAAAATACCAAGAAAACAAGAACTACACGTCTACCCTATTTTGAGGCGGCACCACAAGAATTTACGACCGAACACCTCTGTCCCCGGGAAATCCCTTAAAAAAAAAAAAAATAAATAAATAAATAAAAAAATCCCGTAACTCAGTCCAATGCGATGAAAAGGAGCCAAGGAAACACGGAGCCCGGAAGCCAAGCAGCAGCTGCACGGCCACGGTCGGGGGCCGCGGAGAGGAGTACCTTGGAGTCCGGCAGGCTGAAAACGCTGGGGTCGTCGGTGCTCCCGACCATGATCTTGTGCTCCTTGCCCGGGGCATGGCCGCCGCCGCCATCCGCGCGTGCAGCCTTGGCGCCGTGGCGCTCCCCGGACACCCGGTCGCTGGTGGTGTTTCCCATGGCTGCAGCTCGAATCGGGGGCCACCTGGCGCGAAGAACTACACCTGGCGGGGAACACCCCAGCGGCCGCGTCAGGGGCACACCCGCAACTCCTCTGCGCCTGGGGACCCGGGAAGGGAATCCCCGCCGCAGGAAACCACGCCCCATTGTCCCCAACCTCCCGGCCTACAGGGACGCCCGCAAGCCCCCGGGCCTCCCGTCGCCCCAGCTCTGAAAACCCACCCTCGGGACTCCCCCGCAGTCCCGCGCCCACTCCCGCACCCCGATCACCTCCAGCGACGCGCTCCCTCTCCCCGGGACCACGGGCGCGATGGCCGCCCTGAGGACAAGGCCACCAATAAAGTTATTGAAATTGAAGCTGCACCCGGGGTGACGATTTGGGTTTCCTCCTAAAATGGCTAAGAGGCCCGCGGCGCGGGGCCGCCCCTGCGCACTCCTGCCGCCCTCCGCTGCGGAGCCCGGGCCCGCCTCTCTAGCCACTGCCGCCGCCTCGATGGTGGGCGCGCGCAGCCTCCAGCGCCGCGCGGGGGCGCCGGGCAGGGACAGCTCCAGCGGCGACGTGGGTGCCTCGGGCTCCGCACTTCCATGGCGAGGAAACAGCTCGGAGGACTCGCGGGGCTCGCTGCCACAGGACCGGTGCTGCTTTCTTTCGGGGCGTCTCACGCGACCTCAGGTGCGCCAAAACATTTTATGAGCCGCGTTTCTCTGAGCGGTGACCGGGAGAGGTGGGTTCCTATAGGGAATAATAAAATAGACTTCATCTCCAGGCTGAGGGAGTAGAGGTCAAGGCTAGAGGCTAAGACTGTGCCAAACCACAGGAAAGAGTAGTCAGCCCAAATTTGGGTCTGGGGAAGAATTCAAGATGCAGTGTCTAGTTGTAAATAGACCTTGTCAAATTAGTGAATGGTTAGAAGAAGAATTCTCTTATAAGCTAAGAAATAACATTTGCAGTGATTAACTCCAGAAGAAATAAAATCCAAGAGAAACGTCCACAACAAAAACACCAGAAGGCACACAAAATGTATAAAAAGGTCACAGACGATTCTAGGGTTGGGCGGGGTCCAGGATTTTATGAAAGGGAACTTATTGTTCTCAACAGAAACCTTTATTGCTAAATATGTGTCACATATACAGACCAGCAGCATTCATGTATCACCTGGGTGCTTGTTAGAATCTATGCAAAATCCGGGGCCCCATCCCCATGTACAGAACCAGAATCTGCACTTAACAAGTGAGAAAATTGCTGCTTTAACAGCTGATAGAGAGCAGATCCAGATTTGATCCCTTTTCATATTCTGCACACATCTTGTACTGAGTAAGCTTTCAATAAACATTTGCAGAATGAAGGGTAAAGGAATACTGTTCACTACATTTCTGGAGATTAGGCATAGTGATGGGGAATGCAGCCAGGGCTGGGGAACTCCAAGTCACACAGGCCAGGGTTTCTGAGTGAGCAGCCCTGTTGTAAAGTCTGTTCTTGTATTATGATTTTGAAAAGTCTACTTAAGTCAATATACTGCTACCCCATTCTTTGCTCTGTTCCTTATGAACTCATCTTCTTGCTATTGATCAAAAAGAGTTTAAGGGAATAAAGTGCAGTTTTACCACAACCCCTTGCTCACCTCTCCAAATTCTTGACTGTCTGAGCACCTCCTTTGGGTTATCCTTACTTTTCCCCCTTTCACCTTCAATTCCTTTCATCCTTCCTTGTGGGACTCAGAATAATTCTGACTGGTTCTGTTCTCTTAGGGGAAAAAAAGCAGCAAGGTGATTAGCTGACTGAAGAGAAGAGACAAAGTATTTGAGATTTGAGCAGGTAGGAGGTGAGAAATAATCAACTAGAATAGTAGGACAGATAATTGACTAGAAAAATGAAGTGTGAGTGGCAGATTGTACTGAATGTCTAGGTATGGTGGTTCTGAGTATAAGACAAGCCAATCCACCATAGTATTATTGTCATCATAATTAGCTGTTACTTGGAGAAGGGCAACAAAAGAGTTGAGAGTGCATAACAGGGTGAGAGTATAATGTTGGGCCATGGATTTTAAACCGGTTGGGCTGGGAAATGAAGAGCAGATTGATGGAGGGCCCAGAGGAGTCAAAAATACCAGAGTGAATGAACTGAGTAGGTAAGAGATGATTTGGAGTGTAGAATGTTTGACATTGAAATTTCAGTGCTATTGCAGTTATTCACATTGACTGTCTTAGATATGACCATAGGTGTAGGTAGGTGAGGTGAGATTGATCATAAAACATTCAGAGTAAGGTTATAGAACTGAAAAATGAGATGGTAGAGAATATTAGAGGCCCATCTCAACATTTGTTTCCTCTTCCTTTTCAATAACCTTGGTATAATAACCTTGGTGTGATAAAAGCATAACAACCATATGGTATGGCACATTTCTTAGCTTTCCTGGTAGCAAGATATATGTGATTACATTCTTCCAGAGAGATCTAAGAGGAAATTTTATATGGAACTTACATTAAATCTTAAAGGAAAGGGTATGCCCTTACATTTCTCCTCCCTTCTGTGTAGGATGTTCATAGAATGGCTGGAATTCAGCATGAGGTAGCTGGACCATGAGGTAGCTGAGAATCATAGAGCAGAAAAACAAACTACGGAGCTGTTATATATCAAGTCTGCCTACCTCTGGACTTTTTTATGTGAGAGGGAAATAAACTTCCGTCTTGTTTAAATCATTTTTTTGGGGGGGGTTTCTTTTATATATAGCCAAACCTAATCCTAACTAATATTTTGTATAGGTGAAAGTATTACATAGATATTAAAACTGCAGGGGTAGTTATGTATATAGAGAAAGGCACAAAGCTTGATACTAAAATATTTACAGAATGAAGGGGAGTGAATGTGTCTGAAAATAACTACAACCAGGAGAGGTGGTGGCCAATACTTCAGTGGAGTAGGAGGATTTGAGAAAGTAAAGAGAAATAGCAATGAGGAACTCTAGGCAGCTTGAGGATTGAATAAGACATACACCCCACTTTCTTTTTATGTTAAGATGCTGTGTGTGTGTGTGTGTGTGTGTGGGGGGGGTGCTTGGGATTGAACCCAGGGCCTTGTGCATTCGAGGCAAGCACTCTACCAGCTGAGAGGATCCTGACTTTTTAAAAGAACTATTTGCATAAATAAGTTATAGACAGGCAGGTGTGTTTCAAATCACAATAGAATATTAGATATCATACTGACTCAGATCAGTGGGTCATTCCAGAATATCTTCTGAAAAAACATGTTTGCCCCACAGACATTTCAAAATGTTAAGCATCTTGATCTCCTTAATCATGTTTTCTAAAAGTGTTATTCACTATTTTTTAAAAATACCTTTATTTTATTTATTTATATCTTGTGCTGAGGATCGAGCCCAGTGCTCCACACATGCTAGGCGAGTACTCTGCCACTGAGCCACAACCCCAGCCCCCCCACTATTTACTTTTTTAAAAACTCGGTCATATTTTTATCTCCCATGTTATGTGTATTCATTTAATTAATTAATCTATGGAGGCTTCACTGTGTTCCAGGCACTACACTAGGAACTAAGAACACATAACTGCAAAGAAATCTGCCTCCCAAGAATGTACTAGTTCAAAGAGGAACCATGTGAGAGAACCATTTGTTACCACATAGTTTTGTAAGGATATTCAACAGGTATGATAAAAGCACAAAGGAGCCCAGGTTCATATTGGGGATTAGGAAGCTCTTCACGGAAGAGAAAACAGATGAACTTAATCTTGAAGATGACAGAGGTGTTATTTAGCTGAAGAATTTATTGAAATTACAACAAAATAATATACAGAAGCATAGAAAATTAGGCACTTTGGGAAATTCCAAGTTTATTACTACATTACGGTTAGCCAAAGTAACAAGGAAGGCCCAATATTAAGTAACATTCCCTTACTTATGTACATACTACCCTTAGTATGAATCCTGTTTGAGGGGACTACCGGCTTCATGTTCTCAGATACAAGAAAACTTATCTAAGTGAATTAAAGAAATTGTCTTTTGACTTTATATCACCATTTCTCAGTCAATACAATTACAGCCAATACTTAGCAAAGGAGGTAAAATTTGCTGTAGTAAATTATTATGTTTTATCAAATTAACTTAATTTGTGAGTAATCAGGTAAACACATAATAATGTAGATGAATGGCATAAACAATGTTGTTCTTCTTCTAAGAAAATTCCTCTAGACTGTAGCTCTAGGTCAAATCCTGAATCAAATTAATACATTTCTTTTTTTTAAAGTAATTTTTAAATTTTGAAATAGTTTTTGATTTAAGAAAGTTTGCAAAAATATTAGAGTTCTTGGATACACCCACCTAGTTTTCCTTACTGTTGACACATTATTATGGTACATTTGTCACAACTCATAAACCAACATTGACAAATTATTATTAACCATAATGCCTACTTTATTTATATCCACCAATTTTTACTTACTATCGTCTCTTCATTCCAGAATACCCCATTATATTTAGATGACAAGTCTCCTTAGGGTTTTCTATACTGTGTTCAAAATTGCCTTGTTTTTGATGACCTTGACAGTTTTGAAGTGGTCAGGCAGTTTTTAGAATATTCCTCAAATTGAGATTGTTAGTACTTTTCTCATGGTTAAACGGGGTATGGTTTTAGGGGGCGAATACCACAGTGGTAAAGTAACCTTCTCATCATATCATATCAAGGGTACATATTTTCAGTATGCCTTATCGCTGTTGATGTTAATTTTGATCACCTTGCTGAAGTGATATTTGTTGAATTTTTCCACTGAAGTCACCTTTCCCCCTTTCCATACTGTAATTTTTGAAAGGAAGTGAATCTATCTATGCAGCCCATTTAAGAAGTAGACAATTATGCTCCATCTCCTTGACAAGAGAGTATTTTTATATAAATTATTTGGAATTCTTGTGTATGGGAGAGTTGTCTGTTCCATCTCATTTATTAATTTATTCAATCATTTACTTATATCACTATGGACTCGTGTATTTTTATGTCTTATGTTCTAATAGTAGGTTATTTATTTTATTGCTCAAATTTGTTCATTATTTGATGGCTTCTGTGTCCCCTTGACATATGCTTATTCAATTTCTGTTGTGAGTACTTCTTTACTCTCTGGCATTACGAGAATGCATTTTTCTTTGGTAACCAGATTTAATATAATTGGAGAATTTTTGTATAAATAGATATACACATATGCATGATCTTAACGTAAGAGCAAAATATATAAATAGAATATTAATACATATTTATCAATAACTAAGGCTTTTAATCTTGAGTTGTTTTGAATGCAATATCCTATTCACATCTTACATTCAGCTTGGTTTAGAAATCAAGCAATGATTTTTTGGGGGGTAACCTTACATGTTATACATACAATGAGAGAGTCAAATCAGTTTAAAAATATACACTTTAAAGAGGAAACTGGGGTGTTTTTAGTGATAATTAAGAATTAGGGGATTATTAATTCAATACATTTACATTCTAAAAGATGCAAGTTTATATTATGAAAGAAGAAAATTTAAAAAGCAAGAGACCTTCAATTTACCTTTTTAAAAATACCTTTATTTTATTTATTTAATTTTATGTGGTGCTGAGAATGTAACCCAGGGCCTCACACATGACAGGAAAGCACTGCACTGAGCCACAACCACAGCCTTCAATTTACTTTTGTGTGTGTGTGTGTGGTGGGTACCGGGGATTGAACTCAGGGTCACTCAACCACTGAGCCACATCCCCAGACCTCTTTTGTATTTTATTTAGAGGCAGGGTCCCACTGAGTTGCTTACTGCCTTGCTGTTGCTGGTGCTGGCTTTGAACTCGTGATCCTCCTTTCTCAGCCTCCCTAGCTGCTGAATTATAGGCAAGTACCACTGCACCCAGCTTAAATTTACTTTTGAACAAGAGTAATTTGCAGATTAAAAAATAGTAGATCTGGCGCTGTGGCTCAGTGGTAGCGCACTTGCTTGGCATGTGTGAGGCACTGGGTTCCATTCTCAGCATCGTGTGTAAATAAATAAAATAAAGGTCTATCAATAGCTAAAAAAAAAATCTTAAAAAACACTAGATATACTTTCTTTTTAAAAAATTTATATTTATTTTTTAGTTGTAGTTAGACACATTACCTTTATTTTATTTATTTATATGCGGTGCTGAGGATCAAACCCAGGGCCTTCATGTGCTAGGCTAGCACTCTACTGCTGAGCCACAACCCCAGCCTTATATCTACTTTCACAGATAACAAATACCCTATATCATAGGGATTCCAGAAGGAAAAAGACCTAAGGAATAATACCAACTTTCAGCTCTCTAGTTCTCGAAAAGTAAATGAGGTGAAATGATAGGCAGCTGTCCAAATAGTTATGTGATTAAGAAGTCTAACTCTCAAATATCTAATTTTTTAATGTATTAGTTGGATGTGCTTTTACTTGTTCAAATTTATCCTGTAGTTAAGAAATCGGCAGCAATCCAAATTTAAAAACATACTTCACAACAGCTATTTGTGAATAAACACTTGACTGGTACTTCCAATACCTTTCCCCATTGGAGTTCAGTGTGCTTGACATCTGACAATATCTCACGAAACAAGAATAGCAAAACTTCAACAGATGAGAAAACAGAATCAGCGGCAGCACTGGGATGTAAACCCAAGTTCCTGCTTTCTATTTATTTGCTCTGTTTTTCAGAACTACATTGTATGATTTAAGAAAAAGGGGTATTAGAATACTCCTACATTTTAGTCAAAACCTCTTTGAATTCTTATTACTTAGATTTTACTTGAAGGAGTGGAAGAAAGAGTAAGAGGAAACGAAACATCACATTTGTAGACTTGACTACAATAGTTGGCAGGTACTTATTTCCTAAACTAAAAATCTGATTAGATCCAATCTGGGAACTAAGAGATCAAAAAAGATAGGACAGCTACTTAAAAATATCCCAGTTTTCTCAACCAAGTAGAACCCATGGGTAGATGTTAAATTATTAAAATAACCTATGAGCCTAAAAAATTGAAACTAATTTCTTTATTAAGAAAATAAAGCCATGTTGCTTAGGGAAAGGAATAAAAATGACCAATTATCAAGTACATTAGTGAATAGTAAGTAAAACAAAATGTTTTATGTATCTATATTTCTTATAGAAAAACAACTATTTTAAGACCATTATTTCTCCTATCTCTCAGAAAATGTATATTTAATTATAATATTAAAAACAAAAATTGACCTTTTTTTTAATAGAAAATCAAATCTTATCAGAAGAATTACATGAAGTCAGTCATTTTTTAAAATGTGTATTAGTTGTAGATGGACACAATACTTTTATTTTTATTTATTTATTTTATGTGGTGCTGAGGATCGAACCCAGTACCTCACCCATGCTAGGCAAGCACTGTACCACTGAGCTACAGCCCCAGTCTGAAGTCAGTCATTTTTTATAGATGCTGATTTAGGGTCCCCACCATAATATTTGATAATCAACAAGGCCACATATCTGCTAAGGACATAATATAAAGATGACTAAAAGAGTGCCTGAGCTCACAGTCTAGAAATTATCGAATGGAAAAAGTGACAGATCACAAGAGGAAGGAGGATGAATCAACACAAATGAAAACACAGGATTTCATTATAGGGAAAAGTGGAAAGAGGATCAATGCTTCTGAAAGAAACAAAAGTAGATTTCTAAGAAATGAAACTGAGAATTATTCATTCTTGTTAGGTTTGGAAGCCATCTCTAGATTGAGCTTCCCAATGAAAGCCAGGTTTGTGACAATGGGACATCTAAAAATAAGCCATAATCACTGCAAAGAAAATAACAGCTAGCATAATCCTGCCCATTGTCTTTGTTAAAGCTGTGGAATTACTCTTTTCAATTACTCTTGTTTTCATAGGCTTCCTGATACGATCATGTGTGGTAAAGATGGTTTTTCGAGCCCCATCCCACTTTCCAGGGCCCTGTAGACGAAACTGGGCTGGAGTACAAGGTCCCAAAAATAACTGTAATGCTAGCTTGGGATCAGTGAAGGCCAGAGACAGTAGATTAGGCCTGACTCCCACCAAATCAGCAATCTGATCCATGGTATCAATGTAGTCTCCCTGAATGGTATGGCGTTGGCTTTCCACGTACCTAAAATAGAGAAGAGAGAAGCCATGGTCTATCAAAACAGGCAATCAACTAGTCAGTCAGTCAACATACACAATGTATTGATTTGGGGCACATTATATTGATTTTTTTAATTTTTTTTTTTAGTTGTTGATGGACTTTTACTTTATTCATTTATTTATATGTGGTGCTGTGAATTGAACCCAGTGCCTCACACATGCTTGGCAAGTGCTCTACTACTGAGCTACACCCTCAGCTTGTATTGATTTTATATTGGGCTACATGCTGTAGTAAACAGTGAAGAAAGATTATATTTGTCACCATTCTTAGAGATCTTATAATACATTAGAAGAGAAAAGATTGTTGTGTAAAGTTCGAATTATATCCTTGGGGACCGCTCACAGTAAGAAGGTGGTTGGACAAGCATAAGTCAAAAGAAAGAGAGCAGGAAAGTCCAAATAAGAGAATTTAGTGCCAGAAAAGAAAGGAAAGAAAGCCCTCTAAGAAGGGAAAATGTTTAAAAGTGCCAAGCTCAGTAGTAAGAGAAAGGAACCTGGTCATGGATGACCTTCAAGGGAACAATTTTAGGAGTAAGGAGGCAAGTTGAAAATACAGGGACTTGGGGAAGCAAAGGGAGAGGCCTGAGAGCACAGGATGTAGAAACTTTACTATAGACCTTTAGCAATGAAAGAGGGGAGGAAAATAGGAGAGCACTGGGTAAGGATAAGAAGATTAAATAAAAAGTTACTTTCTCTTCTTCTAAGATAGGGGAGAATCATGCTAGTATAGTCAATTGCAGAAAACCACCATTTTGGGGCTTGCAACAATCAATTTCCACATAAAAACAACCTTGGGATTTGAGCTCAAGTTCTGAAATTCAGACTGCCAAATCATTGTGTTCACCAAAGTACTAAGCAGCCAGTTGATGTTACTACTTTACCAAATCACATGGAGTTTTTATGCTCAGCCACTGTAACCTGTGTGTGCTGTCCACCTGATGATAGCCAGCAAATTAGTCACTTCAGATTTGTGAATCTACTTAAAGATTTGAAATTATCATTAATTCAACATAGTTTTCTAATACTTCAAGTAATCCTCCCCAAAATAATATACCTGATTTTTCTTCTCAATGAGCTTTTCCCTATCTAACTTTTCTTTTAGATCCTAAACATAGCCTTTATACACTTTCTTGAATTTTTCTCTCCTTTCCCTCCACATTGAAACTGCTAGTACTATTTCCCCCTTCTGTTGTCACAAACTATTATTCCCCTTTTCATCACAATATAATCAGAATTCTCAATAAGAGGAAACTAAATGTAGTAAAATATTGTTCTTATTAAGAAATTAGTAGAAAAAGTTACCATACATCTTCTTGGGAGAATTTCTTACCTTTTTGCCATTTCCTCTTGAGTCTTAGCTATATCTGCCATCATTTCACTTTGTGAGGGCAATTTCTTTAGCCCTAAAGAGAAAAATTTTAAATATACATATAAATTACCTCAGTAGAAACAATGATCCTATTAACAATTACTGTGCTATGGAGAATTCAAAGAAATATAGGATAATTTTCTATACTCAGAGATTACAGTTTGCTTGATCACTTGATCCTGCTATAACCAAAATATAATAAGTTGAACATACATAATCTCAAAAAACAGAAATCTGAAATGCTCCAAAACCCAGTATTCTTTGAACACTGACAGATACCATAAGTAGAAAATTCTACACATGACCTCATGATAGGTCATGGCCAAAACACAGGCACACTAAAACTATTGTATAAAATACCTTCTGGCTATGTTGTGTAAGGTGCATATGAAAACTAAGTAAATTTCATTTTTAGACTTGGGTTCTATCTCCAAGATAGGTCATTATGTATATGTAGATATTTCAAAATCTGAAAATATATGAAGTTCAAAACCTCTGGTCCTAAGGAATATTCACCTGTATCAATATGCATAGTTTATTCTGCTTTGTCTTTGGAACATATTTACTATACTCAGCCTCCTCCTTAACATAGTCTTTGAGTTGGTAAATTAAATATGGACAAAGGAAATGACAGATGGACTTAAAATCACATGAAAACATGAGGAACAAGGTCAAAAGGCAAGTCAAGTGTGGTGATGCATGCCTATAATTCCAGCACTTGGAAGGCTGAAATTGGAGGATAACTTGGGTCCAGGAGTTCAATCAGCCTGAGCCATGTAGTAAAACCCCATCTCAAAAAAGGGAGGGGAGTGGAGAAACACCTGTACAAATATCTTAATAACAAAAAGTATTTTATACAAGAGAGAATAAAGGAAGTAAACGTAAACTCTCAATCACATTTTATGCTAAAATATTATGGAAGATAAGCCTCACGTTGGTTGAAAGGCCTCATGAGGTCTTACTTCGACTGATCTACTTCCCATTTTACTCCCTCTAACTCTTTTATTCAATAAGAGTTTGTGGTGGGGGGGAGGGGGTAAGGCCAAAGGCAACTCATATACCCAATCTTGACAAATAAATTTAAGCACTAAAGTACAGACAGTTCCTGTACTATGATTTAACACCAAGGACATGACTAGACAAAGGCAGAATCACATTTAAGTCTGTATAAACAACTCTAGCTCAAACAATTAGCCTTTTGCCCTCATATATAGCATTATGCCCAGCCAGATATGTAGACACTATGCCTTGTACAAAATTTGAGCCACAATCCTAAAAAATGTTACTCTCTATATAAATTCTGGTATGTAGAATTTCAGAATGGGAATGTATCTTACTCAGTACAATCCGTCTCTCTACAATACAATATCAGGTGGTTATCTCATTCTTCTTTAAAAGTCTCTGGACTTGGAGATCTCACTACCTTCTAAGAAGATGATATAATTGACTGATGTAGTTGCTGGAATGTTATTTTTTGTACTGACCCCCAATCTACTTCTATACAACTTATACCACTGGACCTAGTTCTTTCTTTTGGAACCACATAATTGAATTTTAATAATTGACAGGACTTAAAATGTGAAAAGCACCTGTCATAAGTACTTTAAGTCTTCTTATTATCAGAATAACCTGCATAGGTTCCTTCTATAAAAGATTTCATGTTCTCTGCCATCTGGTTTCCCTATCCTGATTTGCCCCTCTTGAAACACAGAAGTAAGAAATTCAACACTCAGAGCCTACTGTGTTTTTTTAATGTGTTTTCCTAATTTAGCTATATGACTTATAAATCAATAAGGAAGCATGGGAATGTTTCCTTTGAAATTAATAACAGGTCTTTTAGGATGCTCAAGAAGTACATTTTGAGAACTGATTTCCAATTACTTCTTACAGGGTACAGCCACAAGTTTTGCATTTATTAGCTAGAAACTTTATGGAGGAGGAGGGGGCGGTGGTCTATTTCTTGGTGGTGAGAGGCAGTCAGTTCATAAACTATTAAATTTGATGGACAGATAAGGATATTTACAACATTCTGTGATGCAGTTCTCTTTGAATTTATTAACTTTCAGTATTACCTTGTTTAGACACATATTGTATCATATTTCTTATCTGCCTCCTTCAAATCTTGCTCCCTACCCTTTTATATTCCTAGTTTACATTAATGGCCACAGCACCTGGGCAGATTCTTTTCTCTCTTCTCCCCAGCATGGATTCTGTCACCAAATCCTTTCAAAGGTTCCTGTGAAGTTTCATCCAAGTTTGTCTCCTCCTATTCATTTAGATTGCCATTTCCTTGGTTTAAAGGCCTCATGCGGTCTTTAAACTGAACTACTTCCCATTTTACTCCCTCTGACATGTATTATAAATTACAAATCTGATTTGAGTTCTCCTCTCCCAGCTAGAATCCTTCAGTGGTTCTCTGTTGCCTACATTAAATACAGACTTATTGTATGGCAGCCAAGTTCTTGATATCACCTCCATAAATACTCCTAGCTTCATTTTCCTTAATTCCTATAACATTATTTCTCAACATTCTTAGTTACTTGCAATACCCAGAACTCAATTACTCTGTCATTTTACCCTAACTTTATATAAATATTGGTGATTTTCCCACTCTTATTCTTCTCAATATTTCTTTTTTCTTTTAGTATATATATATATATATATATATATATATATATATATATATAGTCATAGGAGCATTGGGTACTTGTTGTCCATTGTTCCCATAATAGCTTCTCTACATTGCTACTAAAGCATCTGTTTAGGATGCAGTAAATATCTGTGAAGTGAATGAACACAGTAAATGTCTGTTTACTTGTTTGTCTTCCTTCTATGACTCTTAGTTCCATATATCCCACTCTTCAGTCTATACCCAATGGACTTAAAATCAGCATACTATAATGATACAGCCACATCAATGTTCATAGCAGCTCAGTTCACAATAGCTAAACTGTGGAACCAACCTAGATGCCTTTCAAGAGATGAATGGATAAAAAAAACTATGTTACATATACACAATGAAATATTACTCAGCATTAAAAGAGAATAAAGTTATGGCATTTGCAGGTAAATGGATGGAGTTGGAGAATATCATGTTAAGTGAAATAAGCCAATCCCAAAAAACTAAAAGCCAAATGTTCTCTCTGATAAGTGGATGCTGACCTGTAATGGGAGTGGGTGTGTGTGGAAAATGGAGGAACTTTGATTGGGCAAAGGGGAGAGAGGGAAGGGGAGGGGGCATGGGGGTAGGAAAGATGGTGGAATGAGATGAACATCATTCCCCTAGGTACACGTATAACTGCACATGTGGTGCAACACTACATTGTGTACAACCAGAGAAAGTTGTGCTCCATTGTGTACGGTGAATCGAAATGCATTCTGCTATCATGTATAACTAATTAGAACAAATAAAAAATAAATAAAAAGAAAAAGATAGAGATTTTCTGTTTGGTCATCTTTGCATCTCCAGCACCTAGGATACATACTAAGAGATCAGTAAATGTTAGCTGAATAGTGTTATTGAAGAACAGTGAGGAATTGAAGTTTATTTTCCAAGGGTCTCAAGACAATGTGGGAACAAAGAGAGCCTAAATTAAACTCTATGGTAATGGGCCTTTCAATCTACTCTCAGAGTAAGGCATGTTGTATTTGTGTAATCCTGACTTTCTGTAATCCTGACTTGCCCCTGCACATTTTTGTATAATGTTACAAGAGAAAAGAGATATGGCCACCATTCAGGCCTTCTGGACCAGTCCAGCCTTTTAACATGACTAGAAATTGGCCAAGGGAATTGATAAGCTGCGCTCTTCAGAAGTTTCTACAACAGAATTTAGAACTTCATTTGCATGAAGGCCATACTGTATTCATTTGACCTGGCATTTATGAGATACCTCCTATGTGCTAGGCATTGGTCTAGCCTTGGAATGTAAAGGCACATAAACATGATTATTTTATTTAAAGAGCTTTCAATATACTAATAAAGGAGGGACAACATATGCATAAGTTTATCCTGTGTAAATAGGAATTAAAGGGAAGGCATACCAAGAAAGAATATCAGGAACAAGGGTATCTCCTATATTTGCTGCTTAGTGGGTAAGTCATCTAGTGCTTCTAGAAAATTGGATGTGTGGTAAAGATTAGTGCAAGATGGACCTGAAAAAGCAGATATAACAATCTGTGGCAGAACCTGAATGTTGTCCTATGATGTAATACCTTCTTGTGATACAAAGAATTGATATAACTTGATATGGTTTCCAAGGAAAGAAAGTTGCTGAGTGAGAACCCTTGGGAGAACTGCAAAACAGGCAAAGAACAAAGAAACTTGATTTTATCCATGGTAAGGTTCTGGGTTCAGTGCTCTAGAAAAGGATGGAATATTTTTCTTGACAAGAGGGCAATAATTCCAGAGAACAAAGGAAGAAGGAAAATGAGAGTTGGTAGGGAGAGGACAGATCAAAGAAGAGGACAGGCTGAGTTGGGTAGGCATGAAAGACTGGGAGAAACTAGTTCATCTGAAAGGTTTGAAATTGACACAGTGAAGATAGAATTCAGGGATGAGAAAGACAAGAATTTGGTAAGTAGACCCAGGTAAGCTATAGCTAGAGTAAAAAACTCAGGGTTCATATTGAAAGTTTGGTAAAGTCATAGGGGTTCTTCTGAAGATTCCATCTTTGCAAAAGTTGGAAGAATGTGTGCTAGGCTTCTGCTACCATGAGAAGCTAAGATTTTTTTTTTTTTTACATTTCCCTTCAGATAACCTACTCTCATATCCATAATGCAGATTCTTCCAAATACTCATGTTCCCAATTCCTCTTAGCAAGTCACTTGGGCATGGAATAAGAGTCCCAGTTGCTTCAAGTATACTAAGATGCTCTGACCTATTTTAATGAAACTTTCTCTACTTACATAATTGATCTAATTAAAATATCCATTTAATATGACTAGGATTAAGCCAACCTCATGGGTTACTTATGTTTGATTGGTGGTCCATTGCTCTCAAATAGCACATGACCTACTGCATAGACTGTAAGGAATTAAGAAATGGCAAACATTTGGAAAGATGGTTTTTGCCTATCAACTATGATACCACTGCATTTTTCCCCTCTGCTACCATGAAAAATCTTCACTGGCAAACAGCTATAATTCCAACAAAAACACTGAATAGTTTCAATTAAACACTGGTATTGACAGAAGATTTTATTATTATAATTAAAGGATCAAAGAGTTTTTTCTTTAGAAAGAAACTACAAAGTCATATGGTTTCTCTCTATTCTGAGGCTTAACTCTCCTCCATTAACCTCTAATGGAGGTTAGGTTCTAATGGCCATTTAGCCATGTGACATTCTTTTCCTATGATGTTTGAATTCTTTACAATTTCAGAGGCAGCCCAATCCATCTTGAAAGGGCACTGGTTGATAGGAAAGTTTTCATTCACCTAGGCATTAGACCAGAGACCCTGCATCTACTAGAAGAAAAAGTAGGCTGAACTCTCCATCATGTCAGCTCAGGAACTGACTTAACTTAAGCACAAGAAATAGGATCAAGAATCAATAAATGGGAAGGTATTAAACTAAATAGCAAAGGAAACAATCAAGAATTTGAACAAAGAGCCTACAGATTGGTAGAAAATCTTTACCATCTGCACCTCAGAGAGAGCATTAATCTCCAGGATATACAAAGAACTCAAAAAACTTAACACCAAAAAAAAAAAAAAAAAACCCAAATAACCCAATCAATGAGCAAAAAACTGAACAGGCAACTCACAGAAGAAGAAATGCAAATGGTCAAAAATATATGGAAAAATGTTCAGCATCTCTAGCAATTAGAGAAATGCCACTTAAAACTGCACTTGAGAGTTCATCTCACTTCAGTCAGAACGGCAGTTATCAAGAATACAAGTAACAATAAAAGTCAGCAAGAATGTGGGGAGAAATGTATATTCACATTGCTGGTGAAAATGCAAACTGGTGCTAACCAATCTGAAAAGCAGTTATGGAGATTCCTCAGAAAACTTGGAATGGAACCACCACTTGACCTAGTCATCCCACTCATAGGTTTATAACCAAAGGACTTAAAATCAGCACACTACAGTGACGCAGCCACATCAATATTTATAGCAGCTCAATTCACAATAGCAAAGCTATGGAACCAAACTATGTACCATCAACAGGTGAATGAACAAAGAAAGAGTGGCATATGTACACAATGGAATATTATTACTCAGTCATAAAGACGAATCAAATTATGGCGTTTGGCATTAAGTGAATGGAACTGGAGAATTTCATGCTAAATGAAATAAACCTGTCCCAAGAAACCGAAGGCTGAAGTACTCTCTGATATGTGGATGCTAACCCATAACAAGAGGGTATAGGGAGGAAAGTATAGAAGTTCACTGGATTAGAAAAAGGGAAATGAAGGACTGAGAATAAGAAAGACAGTAGAATTAAATAGATGTAACTTTCCTATGCTTATATATAAATACACGACTAGTGTAACTCCATAGCATGTTCAACCACAAGAATGGGATCCAAATTGGAATGGGTTGCACTCCATTAATATATAATATGTCAAGATACAGCCTATTGACATGTATATCTAAAAAAAAACAAATTAAAAAAAACTTTATATGGATAAAAAAAAGAGAAGAAAAAAATGTCTTTTTTTTAAAAATGTTAAGCTGATATTATGCAACCCTCAAAATTTCATTCCTTGGTTCTAGTTTGACTCTTTGCTCTATTAAGTAAGTCTAAATCTTATCCAATGAGTATCCCTTCAAATATTTGAAGAGAACTCTCAGATATTAACTTCTTTAGCCTAAACTTCTCCAGTAACTTTATTTGTATTTCAAATGATATGTTTTCACATTCCTTAAACCATTCTTATCTTTCTCCTTATTCAGTGAATTCCAGTTTCACTTTTACAATGTCTTTAGTTGGTAATCTGACCAGTTTAGAGAACAATTATGATGTTCTGGGATGATGCTAGATTTAAAGAAGCCTTTTGGAACCCTTATCATCTGCTGACTCATATTGAGCCTACTATCCCAAAGCTCAAAGTTTTTTTTTTTCCTTATGTACTTCTAGTCAAAACTGAAAGAGGGGACATAAACGGGGGCGGGATGTAAGGATTTGAAAGTTGAATATTCTACATTCTGGATTAATCTACCAAGTGTTAACTTATTGTATGAAATTAAGTCACACCATTTCTATATTTGACATTCTTCATAATGAAAGATGAAATTCTTTTACTTCACAAATATATACCAATTGTCTAAAATTTAGATGAGTGGATTCTAATCTGAAGTACACATTGGAATTAACTGGAGAACAATATTGTCAAAAATCTTGTGCCTGCCCCTCCCACATTTACTGAATAAGTATCACCAGGGATAAGATCAAAGCATGCCTAAGCTGGGAAAATATCCCAGGTGATTCTAAGATATGTCTATGGTTATCAATTACTACGTTAGATTCACTTAAAAATAAGTTTTCTAGTACTAACTTTGTGCTAGATATTATGCAGCTCTCAAGATTTTGGTCAAACATACTGCTTTTTAAAATCAAGCACAGAAACATAACTAAACATCACCAAATAATTAAGGAGTGAATTTTTATTGTCACTTACCTTTAAATACTTGAGTAGCCCAGCGTCCTTGGAGCTCTGCAATAGGCATAATGGCTCCTAAGGGTTGAATCAAGCCTATGATTGCAAGAGTTGGCTTTTCTAGGTTGGGGGGGAAGACTTTTTTATATAGGGATATCTTATTTTTGACCACTTTGATAGAATCTTCAAGAAAAGGAAAGGCAAAGCTATAGCCTGTTGCAAAGATAACAACATCAATGTCATCCTCTCTGGAGCCATCCTCAAATATGGCAGCTGTTTCTGTGAATTCTTTCACATTTCCTTTCACCTTCACCAAGCCAGAAATTATACGGTTAGGCAGATCATCATTTACTGTTGGATGCTGGCTCAGAGCTCTACGTGTGACAATAAAGATGAAGAGAATGAGAAATGAGAGTGACCGAGAGATGGAAAGAAAGGGAAAGAGAGAAATAAATCATGTAAGTAAATTTTTGCTTTGGTGGAGGTGGTTAAACAATACATCAATGGTTTCCCCTCAGTTTACCTGTGAAATTTGGAAAAGTCCCACTTTACACCAGTTTTACTTTATGTCAGCTTTTCAGGACACAACACTGAAAAGGCTGAACTCTGGAAGTCACTGAAAGGGGAAGGCAATACCTTCCTTCCCCAAAGTGAAGGAACAAGAGTCTTATTTGAGGAGTGCATATGTGGTTTCTCAAGTTATAATAATGCTCTGTGGTATCTTAAGGCCATAGGCCAATAGTTTCTGTTCATATATCAATTAGTCTGACAGAACTTGGCTGTTAATATTGTTTCATTTCTAATTTCAAAGGCCCAAGAGGTAGACTTAGACATTCATTTTCCAAACTGTGTAATAACATGTACAGCAATTTAGAATTTAAATTACATTTCCACGTATTAACTTCTTTGACAGTCACACAAACTCTATGAAGCTGGTAGGATAGATGTCATTATCCAGGTTGTATGAATGAAGAAACTGAGGTCTGGAGAAATTAAATGACTTGACTGATGTTATGCAGCCTAGGATTTTAGAATTTCTATCAAAATAGTTTTCTATAAACTCTCTTGGAATACTTTGGACATGATAAGTATGGAATAAGGGTATCAAAATAAATAAATCAGGTTTCCAGTATCTTGGGTCTTTAGAAAAAAAGTCTTGATTCAGTTTTTTAAAATAATCTTAATTTTTTAGTTGTAGATGGTCAGTACCTTTATTTATTTAGCTTTATGGGCTGCTGAGGCTCAAACCCAGTGCCCCACGCATGCTAGGCGAGTGCTCTACCACTGAGCTACAGTCCCAACCTCTTGATTCAGTTTTAAAACAGTCTTATTTCCTGAACTTAAGTCAGCAGGCTCTGAGAACCCTCATCCTATCATCTTCCTGGCCTAGCCTCAGGAATATTATACGTTTTACAACTATACCTGATTTGTTGAATTAAATCTGCTTTGATTCTAACCTTTAGGAAGATTCTGTTCTGTATTCCAACCTCATGATTTCATCTTTCTCTCTAAACCTATTCTTTTTCACTAGTAGTACCACCATCCACATAGTTGCCTAAGCCACAAAACTGTCTCATATCTGCTCACCACGCCTATGTTCTTTCTCTCTTAAAAAAGAAGAATTCCTAGAATAGTTTTGTTTACTCACTGTCTCACCTGAACAATTACAGTTGTCTTTAAGGCTCCCTTCTCATATCCCCTCTATACCATTTGCCTTGGAATAAGAAAGGCAAATAAACAAGATTTTAGGATCCTTTGATTTAGAAAAGAAAAAAATCTATAAAGAATATTATTGGGTCAGGTGCAGTGATACATGCCTGGTCATTGTAAAATAGATTATAGACTTGTTGTTAATATGTCACTCACTTGAATGGATTTGCTGTCTTCATGCCAAACTATTTTTTTTGTTCCCCTGCCTCAGGACTAAGGACCAAACTCAGAGCCTTGTGTGTTCTAGTCAAGCACTGAGCTGAATCCCCAGCCCCTCATACTTTTTATTTAGCAGAGCATACAAAAGGTTTCATGCCTTATAGACCTAGAGATGTATTCAACTACTCTTCAAGCTTTGCCATATAAGTCTAGGTATACCAGACTGTGTGCAACTCTCAGGGTATAATGTGCCTTTTGCTATTCTAAGCTATTACAATTAGAATGCTACATGCTGACCCTATTTGCTTATCTATTATTATTCAATAAAACCTCAATTTGTTTTGCAACTACAAAAGATATTCATGCTTAAATAATTCAATGAAAAGTTGTTAGGGAACACAGTGTCCCAGTATCATCTCATTTAATTAATTTCAAGGGGAAAAATATCTTTATACTGGAGAAACATGGAAGATGCCACTTTTTAAAACGCAATCAAATTTAGCATCATTAATATAGAATAAACTGACATCATGTGGGTCCTGATGGGATTCACTAAGAAGATAATATCACTTATGTAGTATATATGCTAAGATACAATGCAACTAAAAATTTAGAGGTATTCTACAAAAACCATGCCTTGGAAAGAAGAAGGAGAAGGAAAAGAAAGAAGAGTAGGAGGAAGAAGATATAGGGAGAGGAGAGGAGGAAGAAGAGAAGGAGAAGGAGGAGGAAGAGAATAAAAGTCCATATTAAAAAAAAATGAATGGCCAAGCATGGTGGTGCATGCCTATAAGCCCAGTGACTCTGGAGGCTGAGGCAGGAGGATTACAAGTTGGAAGACAGCTTTAGCAACTTACTGAGACCTGTCTCAAAAAAAAAAATTAAAAGAATTGCAGATGTAGCTCAGTAGTAAAGCGCTCCTAGTTTCAATACCTAGTATGAAAAAAAGGAAGGATAGAGAATTATTATTTCAAATTAAAAAAGACATGACAACTAAGTGAAATGGTGTGATTAACATTTTTTAGGATTCTGGATGTAGAAGAGAAAAAGAAAAGCTTATTATAAAGAAGATTATTGGGTTGATTGCAGTGATGCATGCCTGTAATCCCAGCAACTTGGGAGGCTGAGTCAGGAGGATTTTAAGTTTTGGCCAGCTTCAGCAATTTAGCAAGGCCCAAAGCAACTTAGTGAGACCCTATCTCAGAATAAAAAATAAATAGGGCTGGGGATATAACTCAGTGGTAAAGTGACTCTCGGGATTCAATCCCCAGTACCAAAAGGAAAAAAAAAAAAAAAGAAAAGAATATTATTGGGACTTCTGTGGAACTCTGAATATGCCAACATTTTAGAAAATGTATTTTTATCAATGTTAAATTTCTGAAATGGAGGAATGCCCTTTTGGGGGGGTATGTCTTAATGATTTTTACTTATTTTCAGAAAAAAATGTGTACTTAAGTATGTATGTACACTACATATTGTTTGGATCTATCTTTCATGAGGGAAGAGAGAAAAAGCAAATATAGCAAACTATTATGATAGGTGAATCTAGGTAAAATATAAGGATGTTCAATGTATTTATTATTGTGCTACTTTTCTGTAGATCTGAACATTTTCAAAAATAAAAAGTTGGACAGGAAAAAAGTCATTTAAAGTCAGTATATAGAAATTCTTTCATAATGTGCCTTTGGCTATATAAGAACTCATTCTTTAGACTCTCATTGCATTCTATTCATTTCTTTGTCATATTCTGTTGTCTGTCTTTTCATTTGTATATTTAAGGTAAGATCCATTTCTGAAGTCTTCCATTTGTTACTCATGTTGCCTTTGGGCAAATTACTTAGTTTCTCTAAGTTTCAATATTTTATATCTGTAAAATAGACATAAAAATGGCACTGACCCATAGGGCCATTTGTGAGGATTAAATGAGATATATGCTCATTGCTGTGCTTCTAATTAAAGTCTTCAAAAAAAGGCAAGATGTGGGGGGCTAGGGTGGTGGCTCAGTGGTAGAGCACTTGCCTAGCATGTGCAAGGCACTGGGTTCGATTCTCAGCATCACATATAAATAAATAAATAAAGGTCCATTGACAACTAAAAAATATTAAAAAAAAAAAAGTCTGAGGCCAGCCTTAGAACTTAGGTCCCATTTGCAACTTAGTAAGACCCTGTCTCAAATTTTTTTTTTAAAAAAGGGCAGGGTGTTATTTTTATTATTATGTCTTTTCTCTCTGTATTTTCATGCCCAATATAATGCCTTGCTCACAACAGGTACCCCATATTTGTTGAATGACTGAATGAGGCATTGCCCTCTATTACATTTTTGTTGTTGGGCACCGTATAAAAAGAACTGATATCTGACAGAATAAGAAAATGGCTAATGTCAATGAGAGTGAGACCAGCAGATCTTGATCTTCTGTGGTTGATAGGTAAAAACCATTTTTTAAAATGTTTTCTTAATGTATGGGTAGAGGTAGCTTTATTAGCCTGTGTGAACAGTCCTTATTCTTATGCCTTGGCTGTTACCAACCCCATTCCCATCCTGAGAACATACCTGTGTTTAGGCTTCAGGCCAAACATTTCATGATCAAATCTTTGATTCATACGTTTTTCCAAAAATGTACTTGTTAATGCTTGACCGCATATCTTTGATATAAGATGTTTAAGTCGAGAAAAGTGTACCACATCAAAAGGATATCCATAGTCCCCTACACGATTCAGGATCCAAGCCCCTCTCCTGGTGCTGAGGAATACCTAAGGCATGGGAAATATTGTTCACTTTTGTCATTCTGTCTCACTATCTGAAAGCACTCTCACTTTCTTCAAGATTTAAGTTCATACTTACTAGTGTGGCATTTTAGTTCTGAACAATCTTTTAAAAATTTTCCTTCCCAAACACTGTCAAAGAATATGTCTTGTTGTGATCTACCACTACATTTCTGTTTAAAGCCAATGTGCCTGAAAAGTCCTCCTCTTTTGAATTTTCTTCAGCCCATTCATTTTTAAGGTCCAGATCAAGTCTGCATCCTCCATGAGAATACCATTGACCTTTCAGGCTGATAATTCTCTCTCCCTTCTCTGAACTTCACTAGCATTTACCACCTATAGGACTCATTAAAAATCATACCCCATTTGATTCAAATGTATGATATGTCAAGATCATTGTATTGTCATAAGCAACTATGGGGCTGGGGTTGTGGCTCAGTGGTAGAGCACTTGCCTAGCATGTGTGAGGCACTGGGTTTAATTCTCTGCACCATATACAAATAAAAAATATTTTTTTTAAAAAAAGTCATGCAATAGACCAGGTGCAGCAGAGCACACATCTTTAATCCCAGTGGCTCTGGAGGCTGAGGCAAGAGGATCATGAGTTCAAAGCTAGCCTCAGCAACTTAGCAAGGTCCTAAGCAACTCAGTGAGACTCTATCTCTAAATAAAATATAAAAAGGTCCTGAGGGTGCTGGGGTTATAGCTCAGCAATAGAACACTTGCCTGGCACATGTGAGTCACTGGATTCGATTCTCAGCACCACATAAAAATAAATAAATAAAGTAAAAAGATATTGTGTCCATATTAAAAAATATTTTTAAAAAAAGGGGTGCTAAGGATGTGGCTCAGTGGCTAAGTGCCCCTGGGTTCAATCCCGAGTACCAAAAAAAAAAAATCATGTAATAATAAAACTGAATATCATTTAATATCATTTAATCCAAAATCTCCAGTCTTTTTGTCATTGACATTGTTTGCATTATTAAGAACTATTATTTACCATTTATGTCATTTATATGATGTGAAACTTTCTATGCTCTTAATTTGTCTCTCCAATTGTGTCCAATTGTGTTTTCTTCACAGTGGGAGGGTTAGCCTGCACATCTCTTAGTCTCCTCAGCACATCATCGTTACTTTCATGTAATGAGACTTGTGACCTGTAACTCTGGATACTAAGTTCTTTGTATTCTTTTTTCTTTTTTGAGGTGCTGGGGATGAAACTCAGGGCCAAATGTATGCTCAGCAAAGGCACTACCACTGAGCTACATCCTTAGCCTTCTTTAAAAAATTATTACTTTACTTTGATATAGGGTCTCTCTGAGTTGTTCATGTTGGCCTCAAATTTGCAAAACTCCTGCCTTAGCTTCCTGAGTAGCTGAAATTACAGGCATGAGACACTGACTAATGGGTTTTACAATGGTAACACAACAATCCCTTGAGGAAGCCACTGTTATCCTCATTTTATGGGTGAGGGACATCAAGAAGATGAAAAATTTGCCAGAGAACATATAGCTATTAAGAGACAAACTGAATTTTTAACCCACATCTGACTGACTCTAAATCCTATTAAGAAATGTTCTATTGATTATTGAATGGGGAAAAAATAAAGATTGCTAATAGAACCCAGGAAATTTTTCAGTAATTCTTTGTTCTTTTCTGGCTAAAAATACATGTTCAGAATGGATTAAGGTTGATATTCAATTACCTGGCAGAGGTATCAGGACATTTTCAACATTACACTTTCAACTTTACCCCCTGGAAGAAGTTTCTAGAGTGTTACTGTAGATTAGTATATTGTTTCATAGTCTTTGTCTAAGCTCTCACGTAAAAAGATGCCTGTCTACAAAGGTATAGTTCTTTACTTCACACATATATCCTCACAGAGAGTAATTTTAAGCCCTATCAGATTTAAGTGCTTTTTACATTTCACAGTTGAAAGAGCCTGCATGGTCTTGGGATTCAGATGATTTAGTTTAATGCTTATAGCCTTAATTCAAGGGCTCCCTATTTATAAAATAGTTACAACAACACTTACATCACAAGACTGCTGTGATAATTTTTATTAAAAAAGTGTGGCATACAGTAAACACTGAATAAATGCTTAATGGCTGTCATACTTATGTCAACTTTTCCATCAATACTTTGTTTTAAGCAAACAATATATTTATAAATCTGGTTTATAAGGAAAATTGTTAAATCAGTATAATTGTGTATGAAATTAACCTGATGAGAAAGGGATGCTTTCACAAATCATTATACCACAGGGTTAAACCAAAATTTTGTTATGCACTGAAATTTATAGACCCATTTAAAAATTTTGACTTTACAAACAACTTCTCTTAAATATAAATACATTTTAATATGTAAAGCAAAAAGCTAGAACTCAGCAATTAAATTTCTTCAGTTTGCATTAGTGCTGTGAGGATGTTGCCCCTGCTATGCAGATATGTTTGCTCTGTGTTTTCCCAGGGCTTTCTCACAAATATGGCTACCTTATCTCCACACTCTGAATATTTTGTTCCTGGGAAATTTTAATTCCATAGTGCAGGTTAGGTCCAGCTTCCTTAGAAATGACCACTTGATATGAAAGAAGACTTTTGCATGGATCCCCACTACCTACATTGTACATCATTCTACCACATGTGTTTTTTACTCTTTCTTGTTTATATAATTACTTCCTAATAAATGTTTGTGGAATTAGTTCACAGAATAACATATGAGATCACTTATATATTGATAGATGAAAATAGTATTGAGAAATTATTGGAACCAAGTTGCTAGGTAAGGGTCATTTAACAAAATTGTGTCATTAAACTTCTGTTTTAAAAAATAATTTGAAGCATATTTATAAAGAAGTATAGCATAATTAAAGTTACTGAAGAACAACCAAGCATTCACCTATTACTAATAAAGTTATGATTCAATGAAGACAAAAATATAATAATAGCATGCCTTTTCCTAGAAGTTTATAGTGAAGACACTTTCTTCAAAGCTCAAAATCTATGATACAGAAACCAAAACAAACAAAACAAAAAAACCAAGGAGATAGAAGTTGCTTTGAAATGACTGCCATTCTGTGCAAAGGCGGACACAATCTGTTCACATATGCTACTATGCAGACACTCTTTATGCCGATATCTACATTGTTTTGGGAAAGATTAGGTTGCTTCTTTTTTCCCCATTTGGGGGGCAAAAAGGAAATTCACCCACAAATTTTTAATGAAAAGTTTTCAATAACCACAGTGTGCTTTCCACATGTGTATATGAGAACATGGCATTTCTTCTGGCCAATGGACAATTCACACTGTCAATGTTGCATTCTTCCAACCTCTTCCAGCAAATATTTGATCTTCATCAAAGCCAGGAGAGGATAACTGGGATCATGAGTGCAACCTGAAGCAGTGAAGTTATTCCTTAGTATGAAGCCAATTGAGTAATGGAACTCTAACCATTATGGCATCTACCGTAATGCCAACTGAAGCAATGAAACCAAGCCCTATATTTGCCAGTGGCACTAGTGGGCAGTGTGCAGCCATCTATACTCTGTTGGGTCTATCTCCCTGGTGAGACTGAAGATAGAATGAAGCAAAGTAAATCACTGATTCAAACCTGCTTGGCTGTGTGGCTAATCTCTACAGCCAGATCCCCTCCAGAATTCCCGATGCCAATTATAATGACTCTTTTCCCAGCAAATGCCTCTGGGTTTTTATAGTCTCGACTGTGGAAATACTGTCCTCTGAACTTCTCAATTCCTGCAAGAGAACAGAAAATAATTATTGGATGATAGTTTATATAATGGATATCATTTGTAAAATTCTTTTATAGAATTTAAAGTTGAAGCACATATTCTCCACATGTTCTCCCTTTATTCAGCTACTCTTGTCTTTCTAAATACTTTTGCTTATTTTTTTTCTTCCAGAGCCTTGGAATAGTAACTTGTTATCCCTTTATCATAGTAGTTTGTATTTTGGATTTGTAGACTCATAAATCCAAACTGCCTCAGAAAACTGCCATTCTCTTTTTGTCGTTCATTCCCTTAATTATATACTCCTGTTTTAATTAGAGTATATATGTTTTCATATACTCTAGGATATACATAAAGTGAATTTTTTAAAAAAAGTTTAGGACCAAAATTGAAACTAAACTATTCAAGCTTTCATTTAAGCCTTAGAAATTCAACATTTGTTTGTTTCCTCAATTACTGAAAAATTTTATATCTGATCCAATACTAAGTAAGTGTTCCACAGTCTTCCTTTATGATCCTTAGGAAAACCAAAGTTGGGGGTAGGAAAGATGGTGGAATGAGATGGACATCAGTAACCTACGTACATGTATGACAGCACATATGGTGTGACAGTACATCATGTGCAACCAGAGAAATGAAGAGTTGTGCTGCAAAAGTTGTGCTATACAATGAATCAAAATGCATTCTGCTGTCATGTATACCTAATTAAAATAAATTAATTAAAAAATAAAAAGGAAAATCAAAGTTATTGTAAAGCTAAATACAATCATGTGCCACTTGACAGATATACATACATTCTTAAAATTTTACTGTAAGTTGGTTTCATCATTGTTAAAAATCACAGAAGTACCTACATAAGCCTATATTGTATGGGCCAGCCACTCAATATGGCCTCTTGATGCAATCAAGATCCACAATAATCATGAGACATGTGAGGTTATTGCTGGTGTAACATGGCAGGCAGTTTTACAGTAAACTTTTCTATAAGTAGAAGGACTACACACCAAAACAAATATATAGCACAGTAAATATGTGAACCAGTAACATAGTTGTTTATTATTAAGTATTATGTACCACATACGTAATTGTATGGGTTATAATTTTATACAACTGACAGCACAGAAGGTTTTGTACATCAGTATCACCATGATGTTATAATGGTTATGATACTATTCAGCAATAGAAAAATTTCAGTCCCCTTATAATCTTATGGGATCGCCATTCTATATGTACTCCAGCCTTAACTGAAATGTCATTAATTTGTGGCATGATTGTTTACAGACCTCTAAACTCTAAAATTACCATTAACTCTAGTCCCCAAATGGCAGTAATACAAGTTATTCCATCTTCAAGGGAACATGCATAATTATGCTCTTATTTCACCCCAAGGTAAAAATCACTCAGACCATAACCCTTCTATTTCTCAGGGTCATAGGCATGGCTCAAATGTCAATCTCCTTCCTAGAAGGTCACTAACCTGAAAAACTTTCCAGAGGTAAGTGAGCATTAGTGTGATGGCCAGTGCAAACCATGACTCCATCAAAGACATTAACCTCCTTTTTTCCTTCACACTCAGTGACCACCTCCCATTGTCCTGAAGTAGAGAAATCAGGCTGCTTCTTCACACTGCACACAGTAGTCTGAAAGAAAAGTGACATACACAGAGCCTGTACAGTGGGTATCTTCCCTGACATGACCTTTCCTGCAAAATGTTACACAAAGGGCTGATACCATAGGCACCATCACATCATTGGGGTCCTTGCAAGAGTATTTGATTTTCATCCTCCATAAAGAACAGTTTTGTTTGGGCCTGTGGTCTGAGTGAGAAAACTATAAGGCAGACAAAGTAAAACAGAGTTGACAGACCAGTGTATTCTCCTCTGCTTCTAGAAAAGTAGAAATTGCTAGGACAATAAGTCTCTACCTTAAGGCATTGTAGCACCTGAATAAAGCTTGGATTTCTCCTGTACTTCTGTGGCACTCAGCACTAAACACCTATTTCTCCACTAACCCCAGACATCCTTAAACTGTCTGATGTCTTCTTATTCCCAAGTCCTGTTCTCTTTGACTGGGCTTAAACATGTGACTATGAGGCTACCTTTCCTGTTAGAGCAGGAACATATGTCAGTGGCTCTTATTTTTTATAAAGAAATCTCTGTTTGCCTTCTACATATGCCCATTTTACAAGTAACCATAAAGAAACAGGTTGTGAGATAGGGTAGTCAGTGGCATAATTTTTAGCTTTTCCAAAAAAAAAAAAAAAAAGAGAAACAATAAATATCGGTTACTCTGCCCAGCCAAAGGAAACATCAAGAATGTATTCCAATGTGCTTCTAGGGTCTTGGCTATAATGTCTTTGTTGACTAATAGAGACACTGTCTATGCTTTAACCATCCTGTACTATTTGTATTTCCTGTCATGTGTTTTTACACAAGCTGGTTCTTCTACTTGGATCACCCTTTTATTCCTTCTTCATTTGGAGGACTCCTTCCTACTGAAGCCTCAGCTTGGACATTGTCTTCTCCAAAAATCTTTCCTGGAACTTGATTCCTCTGCCCTGATGAGTTAAACATCCCTCTTCTGAGCTACAAATGTATAGCTCTCTATAGCGCTTGTCACTTGGTTTATTACTTATATGTATAATAATAATTTTCTTCATTTTTCTCTGTCCTTAACTTGGACTGTTAAGTTACTTATGGTTTTTTTGTCTTTGCATCATCACTGCTTAGTACAGTAATAAACTTATTCAAAAAGTGTCACTTAAACAAATGAAGAGATGCACCACTGGGCTATAAATAACTGGCTTTGGAAATTGTCACCAAATGTTGCCACTTTATTATTGTTGCTAAACATAAAAAGGTGGAATGTTTGGACTTTATGCCGGGTGATTTAATATGGCCATGATTATAAATTATGGGAAAATCATGGCAGACTTTAGAAAAGGAAGGAACCAAAAGTTATACAGTACAATCACCTTCTTTTACAGAAAATAAAATTAAGGTAAAATTCAAGTTGAGAAACTTACTTGTCTTAGGTTACTAATTAGTGGTACGAACAAGGGCCAGAATTCAGGGGTTTGTTTCCCAGTTCAATGTTCTACACTCTCCACCTGATTCAACTTCTTTGCTTTCTCAATAACTTCCCAGTCACTAAGTACTTTGTGATGATCATATAAAATAATATATTCAAAAGTGCTTCAGAAAGTATAAAATAATTAAGAAATATTGGACAAGTTTGGGGAACAGAAGGATTCAAAGTTCCCATACTTATTCATTCCCCTCATCTCCTTGATTATAAGCAGGGAATGTGAAATGAAGGCAATGAAAATACTCGGGCAGGTATCTTTCTGTATCTGCAGCCAAAATATATAAGAGAGAGCTTTCCATGAAAGCTCTTAAGTTTTTGTACTCGAGTATATCGCTCTAGTATTTACATTTACATACTGGTTAATGAAGCCACATTCATTTACTTGGTGAACAACTTCAAACACAAAGACACCCACAAAACTGCCTACCTTGAACTGGATATACTTTAAAAGGTTGAAATCTTTGGCATACATCCTGAAATATTCTAGGATCTGGGAATTGTGCATGAAGTTAGGATAATGATCCGGGATGGGGTAGTCACTGAAGCACATCATCTCCTTAGAAGTATTGATGATCACTGATTTGTAAATACTGGCTCTTCCTTCTTCAGGATTTTTCTGCAGTAAATAAGAAGCATTTATGGCAACTTGTGAGTTAATTTCATGATTTACAAATAGCCAATCAACAGTTGAAAAAATTTCCTGAAATAAATGTCAATTCAAACAAATTACACACATACATGACCTCCACTCATCTCCCAGTACTTGTGCCCCTGTGTAGTTCCTTCTCCTTGAATCTCAGTTATGTTTATGACTTGTTTTTGACCAACAGTTGAAATGGCACTGAATGACTTTCAACATTAAGTCATAAGTAGCCTTGCAGCTTCCATCTGGGTCTCTTGAAAGGCTCACTGTGGTGCAAGCCAGCAGCCATATAAGAAGTTAGTTTTCATTGGTGACCCAAATACCTGACAAGGAGAAAGAATTATTATGGCCCATGGATTCAGAGGTTTTGGCTCCATTGCTTTTGGCTTTAGGCAAGGCAGAACATCATGATGGAAGGGCATGGCAGAGGAAATCTTCTCAGCTATGGCAGCCAGAAATCAGGGTTAAGGGAAGAGGCCCAGGACAAGATATAGTCCCAAAGGGCAACTCTCCTGTCCCCATTATCTGCTTCTGCCAACCATGTTCAACCTGTATACACTATCCACCACTGCCTAGTAGTCCATTCAGGTGCCAATGAATTAATCCATTGATGAGGTCAGAGCCCTCATGAACCAATCACTTTCCAAAAGACCCACCTTTAGACAATGGTGCATTGGATATCAAGACTTGAACACATGAGTGTGTGTGTATGTGTGTGTGTGTGTGTGTGTGTGTGTGTGTGTGTGTGTATATATATATATGACAGCGGAATGTATTACACTTCTTATTAATCATATAGAGTACAATTTTTCATATCTCTGGTTGTATACAATTGTGTCTTCCCCTACCTGTACTTTGGAAAATAATGATCATCACATTCCAAAATCATTAATAACTCCATGCCTCCTCCCTTCCCCACCAACCCCTCTGCCCTATATAGAGTTCATGATTCCTCCCATGCTCCCACCCTATCCAACTATGAATCAGCCTCCTTATATATATATATAAAAAAAAACACAAAACTTTTGGCATTTGGTTTTTGGGGACTGCCTAAAGTCACTTAGCATTATCTTCTCTAACTTCATCCATTTACCTGCAAAAGCCATGATTTTATTCTCTTTTATTGCTGAATAATATTCCATTGTGTATATATGCCACATTTTTTTTTATCCGTTCATCTATTGAAGGGCATCTAGATTGGTTACACAGTTTAGCTATTGTGAATTGTGCTGCTATAAACATTGATGTGTCTGTGTCCCTGCAGTATGCTGTTTTTAAGTCCTTTGAGTATAGACCGAGGAGAGGGATAGCTGGGTCAAATGGTGGTTCCATTCCCAATTTTCCAAGAAATCTCCATACTGTTTTCCATATTGGCTGCACCGATTTGCAGTCCCACCAGCAGTGTATGAGTGTACCTTTTATCCACATCCTTGCCAACACTTATTGTTGTTTGTCTTTATAATGGCTGCCATTCTTACTGGAGTGAGATGAAATCTTTATTGTGGTTTTGATTTGCATTTCTCTAATTGCTAGTGATGATGAACATTTTTTCATAGATTTGTTGATTGATTGTACATCATCTTCTGAGAAGTGTCTGTTCAGGTCCTTGGCCCATTTATTGATTGAGTTATTTGTGGTTTTTTGTTTTGTTTTTGTTTGTTTGGTTTTGTTTTTTTGTTTTGTTTTGGTGTTTAGCTTTTTGAGTTCTTTATATACCCTAGAGATTAGTACTCTATCTGATGTGTGAGGGGTAAAGATTTGCTCCCAAGATGTAGGCTCTCTATTCACCTCACAGATTATTGGATAGGTAGAATTAATATTATCAAAATGACCCTACTTCCAAAAGCACTATACAGATTTAATGCAATTCTGATCAAAAATCCCAATGACATTCCTCAGAGAAATAGAAAAAGCAATCATGAAATTCATCTGGAAAAATAAGAGACCTAGAATAGTTAAAGCAATCTTTAGCAGGAAGAGTGAAGCAGGTGGCATCACTATACCAGACCTTAAACTATACAGAGCAATAGTAACAAAAACCACCTGGTTTTGGCACCAAAACAGACTAGTAGACCAATGGTATAGAATAGAGGACACAGAGACTAACCCACAAAACTACAATTATCTTATATTGGACAAAGTTGCCAAGAACATGCATTGGAGAAACGATAGCCTCTTCAACAAATGGTGGTGGGAAAACTGGAAATCAGTATGCAACAAAATGAAATTAAACCCCTATCTCTCACCATGCACAAAACTCAACTCAAAATCGATCAAGGACTTAGGAATATAATGAGAGACCTTGTGTCTAATAGAAGAAAAAGTAGGCCATAATCTTCATCATGTGGGATTAGGCCCCAACTTCCTTAATGTCTCCTGTGATGCAAGAATTAAAACCAAGAATCAATATATGGGATGGACTCAAACACATGAGCTTTTTGAGGATATTCTAGATCTAAACTATAACAAAGTCCAACTACACTAAAACCACAATACTGTTAGGAAGCCCAAGCTAGGCATGTTGAAGAAAACATCTAGAGTAGAGAAATATTCAACTAGAATTTCTAGCTATCCCATCTGAAGTTCTAAACATGTGTAAATCCAGTCTTAGCTGTCATCAGATGGCAATCACATGAGATTTCAAGTGAGAACTTACCAGTTGAAAGGATAAATCTCAAGAATTTTCATTTATATTGAGACATTGCTCTCAAGAAAATGTACTAAGTCTCTTTTCAGTATAAGTTGTTATTTACCCCATTTTCACTATTGGTAAGTAATAGTTATTTAAATGAGTAAAAATTGGGTAAATCAAAACATATTAGGGAGAGTATAAGTTAATTCAATATTTTTTGAGTAATTTTACAATGTATAGAAAAATCCTTGAAATTTACATAGCCTTTTAAAGAAATATTCAGACTTGTAAACAAAGATTTTTGTTGAAGGATGTTAGTGTCAGCATTATTCATAAAATTAAAAGGAAGCAAATTAAATGCTTAAGAAAAAATAACTGAAATTTGTGAACCACTGCTCTAGATCCTTGCTATGCAAACTACCGTCTGTGGACCAGCACAAAGGGGATCACTAGGGAGATTGTTAGAAATGCATCATTTTAGGCCCTGCTCTATATTTACTGAATCAGAACTGACATATTATCAAAATCCTCAGTTGATTCAGATGCACATAAAAACAGAGAAGCACTGCTTTAGATGACATTAATCCCTAATTCAGTGTCTTCCTACAACAAACTCTTTGCTTCCTCAAAAATTTCCAATTAATTATTTCATGGGTTGATGTGGTGATCTAATAAAATAATGAATATGAACCTAGCATATTATTCTGTCACAAAATTTCACAAATCACATGTTTTCAAATCTGTTATATTTAAATTCTTTTTGATTATAGAAAATCACCTTCACCAATTCGGACACTCTTCTTTTTTATTACAGAAATGAATAAATAAGAGGAGAGTGGGTATTATGAAATATTAAATGTCCACAAAACAGAGCATTGTATTTGTCCACAATCAGGTTTATTTTCCTCCCAATTCTTATTAAAGAATTATGTAGTCTAGGAATTTGAAATTGATTATACTCATTTGTCCCATAATCATGTCTTTTTGACTGCTAATAAAGTTTTCATGAGTCTCCTTTCAAGTCTTATCTATCTTACTTATTTCAACAAAGTATACATTCTAGGGTGTGGTTGTGACTATATCTCTGCCCTAATTAACATTTTAGCTGTTCACATTTCCTATAAAGTTCCTATTTCTTGCTTAGAACTCAAAAGCCTCTATAATGTCTACTAGACTTTATCTCCTCTATTGGATTATAATTCCTTTAAATTGTAGTCGTGTTTTTTTTCTAGAGTATCTAGAATTATAAATAGTCCTTAATAAATGTTTAATAAATCTATGTCAAATTGAATTGCAAAAGGTATGTATAGAAAAAGCAATTTTCACATAATACATAACAAATTATGAAATAGATAAAAATTTCATTCAAAACAACGTGAATGAGACATATTTGTGTCATTTCTGAAATTTTCTAAGGAAAATTGTGGAATAATATAAAAGTCAAATTCAAAAAGATACCACTTTTATATTATTTAAATTAATTATTATTTAATTAAGTTTGTGTTAGTTAATAATAACTTAAAATATCCCCCAAATCCATGAGTGGTTTAATTATATTACAGTATCTCAATATGATGTACAATTTATCTTTGACACTATTCCACAGGTGTTCTGCTAAATACAAAGAACATTCTGTTACTCCACTGCTTATTGGCTTCTAATTCCTTCTGGAAACCAACATATTTATTTTAAAATTTAGTACATTTCACAATCTAGCCCAATATAACTTTTAGTCATCGTTCAGTATTCCCCTTAACAAATCCCATATTCCTAAATCATTAAATTATTAGCTGAAATATTCTAGTAGGCTCTTTCACAACTTTAAACTTTTGTGCATATTACTATTTCTTGAAAAATTCCTATCATTTGAGTCATATCAAATGTTACTTTTCTGATGAAGACTTTCCCGTAGTTCCATTGATCCTCCAAGTCCCCAAACCTTTCAATTTATATTGCTACAAAAGCAGTGTAAACATACTATATTATTTTGCATTTGTTTCTATGATTTTAAGGGACCTGAGATTAGTATATATGTCTTATTATTCTTTATATTTCTGTCATCAACACAGTACCTGATATATATAGTGAATGATTAATGTATGCTTAGGAATGAATTAGTTATATAATTATGAGAATGAATTTGTAGACACCAAACTATGATGTCATTTCTTCCTAACTTGATATATAGATGCAGTGCAATACATTTTAGACATCAACAAACTGATTCTAATTTTGTGTGGGAAGACAGAAGGCTAAAAATAGCCAACTTTGTCCTTAAGTGTAGGTTGTGCATAGTAATCTTTCTTCAAAGAATATAGTATAGCAAAGCAAGAGAGATAAAAGGGATAAAGTTTACTCTGGAAAAATCTGACAGATTCCACTTTAAGGAACATACCACCATTAACAAAATAATGATAAGGCTTACTGACAAAATGTATCTTTGATATGACATAGTGAGGATGGTACTTTCCATTTTCAGTATTACTTTCAAAAATCTATAACCTCAGTAACCATGAGAAAACAGCAGAAAAATCTCAATTGAAACATAATCTAAATATATGTTCTTATACATTTACTCAAACCCATAGAATGTGCAAAACCAATAGTGAACCTCATGTAAACCATGAGCTGTGAATGATGGATAATCTGTCATTGATTGTAATAAATGTAGCACACTATAGGGGGATGATGATAATGAGGAAAACTGTACACCTATAAAGGTAGAAGCTCAATTTGTATAAACTTAAAACTGCTCTCAAAAAAAGCCTATTAAAGAATTTTTTTTTTAAAGCGGGGGGCGGGGGAAGAGGGGATATAATGGAGTAAGTTGGAAATGAATGGATTAAAGGAATAGAAGGACAAAACAAGGAGAAAAATGACTCCCTTTCGGTGGGAGGAATGATGACTTCTGTTTCCTTGTCATAGTCTACAAATCCCATGGACAAGAGCACTGTTCGAACTGTAATTCTCAGTTCTGTTATCTGTATATTGAAATCAGAGAACTTTTCAAAAAATACCAGAGCCAGGGTTTTACTCCTAGAAGTTCTTTTAAGTGCTCCCTGTTAATGTGCAGACAAGTGTGAGGATTGCCAGTAAGAGGTAGTATGCTGGCCCTGGAGAGTTCACAGCACTAGTTTACTCCCTCAACTTCAAAAATCCTTTCTGCATATGTTCTTAGCTAAACCGCAAAATGCCTGAGGGCAGTGGGAGGAAGCTATTTCTCTGTATCTCTGCATCCTCTAGAGAGAGTTTCAGGTTCAGAATGTCTGTGTCATAAACTATTACTGATCTTATTTTAAGGATGCAATGTCATCCTCATTTATGATCTGGGCAAGCTGGGGTAGAAGCTGTAAAACCTTGCTCCTTCACATCAATTGTGTATTAGAAATACCAAGCAGAGAGCTTTATTGGGACTCCAGAGCAACACAATCAGAATCTAATGAATGGGCTGACATCATTTTTTGTTAATGTTATCCCAGTGCTTAATTCTTCAGTGTGCAGTGAAAGCTGATAGCTGTTTCCTTTTAAGTGTTTTTAAAATCCATTTATTGTCTTATTCTTTTTTTGAGAAAGGAGGAGTTATAAAATTTATAGTTTTTTAAAAAACATTTCATTTAAGGGTGTTTATTAATTTTCTATTTTAAATTAACAGATTAAACAGCAACATTTTACATTACATTGTGTCCACATAGTATCTATTTGTCTATACTTTATAAATTTACTATGTGATGTAGTTATCTGATCAGCAGCATAAATATTACTTAGGGCTTGTTAGAAATGTAGACTCTTGGTATACCCTAAATTAATTCATCAGAATCTCCAGTAATTCATGTGTACATTGAATTTTGAAACACATGATCTAGCATGCTTTCATGATTTTTAATAATGCAGTTTGACCAAAAAGTAGCAAAGATTATTATATAGCATTGAGTACTTATTTAATCCTCAGCATTTTGTAATAAATTTATTACTTTTTGTTTTAATATGTATTTTTAGTTGTAGGTGGACACAATACCTTTATTTTTATGTGGTACTGAGGATTGAACCCAGTGCTTCACATGTGCCAGGCAAGTCTTCTACCACTGAGACACAGTCCCAGCCCAAATTTATTACTTTTTAATGCTATTGCATTCATAAGTTAACGTAAAATAAACTGATATATATCCCATTAACACCTACTTTCCAACATAAATCTTATTTAATGTTAATGAAGAGATCAAGAATTAATTGAAATTAATGTCTTGAGAACTTATATGATTATTATTAGAAAGTATTCAGCTATACAAGAAGGAGGCAATACCAGTTTGGCAGGTGGAACATAAAAGGAAAAGAGAGAAGAAAAACAAATGGTGGTATCTGAGAAAACACTTGTTTGGCAGATAGAAAAAAGAAAAAGGAATCATGATAGGTAAGTTTAAATGGTACTGAAAAGAAAATAAAAATATACTGAATCCCAGGAACCTGTCAAAGAAAGGAGAAAATGAAAGCCCTGAATTCCCAGTGTTCTTACTGGACATCTGGCAGCGCAGGTGGAATTCCAAAGTGCTTAAGCCAGTTCCACACGTGAAACTGCTAACAAATTATAAAAAAAGGGTTTTTGTTTTTTGTTTGTTTGTTTGTTTTGGTGTGTGGGGGGATGTGTGGAGAGACAACTAGACTCCAAAAAACAAGCAAGGAAATGATAGGCATGTCTCAGAAAAAATTCTCAAGGTAACCACCAACAGCATGTAAAATATGTTCAGTCCAACATTAAAGGATGTTTATAATACCCTAGTCTCCATAGCTTTGTAACTGTGGAAAATGTGAGAAGGAGGGTCTCAGCTCCATAAACATTCTTAGCAGCCACTCAGGATAGTTTCCTTCTCAGGAATCTATACATTAAACATAAATATATTGGAAAGCTAATATGTGCCAGGCATCATTCTTGGTCTAGAATATAATGGTGAACCATATAGGTATGTCTGTGTTACAAGAAGTTAGAGCATTACAATGAAACAGTTTATTCTTTTCAAGGAAGCAGTTCGTAAGGTGTTGAAATTTTGCCCAGAGGATAATTTTTTTTTAAATCCTCATGCTGTATTTTTAGCAGGTAATAACTTTAAATCACTTTATAGATAAAAACCTGAAATATGTTAGACAGGATAATGGCTACCCTGCCAACATCATCCCTGCCTCAACTGATTTAAGTCTTGTTCAATAATTGCCAAACCTGGCTAGGATGCCTATGGAGACTCAAAATGTCAGGGGTCCCACTCTAGGCCTGAATAATAACTGACATGTAGCACTGTGCAGAGCTGGCACTTTTATAAGTGATTGACTCAATTATTTATTAACTTATTCCCCAGTATAACTGTAGAAAGTGGGTATTACTATTATCCCTTCTTAAAGATTAAAGATTAAAAAACAGTGGGCACAGAGAGGTTTGATGATTTGCCCAAGGCCATACTTCCTGTAAATGAGACAGTCTTTGAATCTAAAACAGTACTCTTAACCTCTACACTAGGGTGTGACAGGATTCCAAGAGTAGAATTTTCTGTTACTAAAAATGAATTAACAGATTTTTCAGCCCATGTCTGACTGATTCTGATAAAGGCATAGGGATTTGCTAAGAGGGTCCATTTTGGACCTGAATAAGAGTATTGTTAAATATAATTAGTTCCCAAAATGGAGCCAAGATATAATAATTGTGTTCAACAAAGAAATATCATGAGGCCACTTTTTTAACTTTTTTTTTTTTAGTAGTTGTAGATGGACAGAATTCACTGGTTCAGAAAATGAGTTTAAAAGCAAATACGAATTAGAGATCAATGAGGGTGCATATTAAAACAATTTAACTTTAAAGCTGTATATAAGCAAGAACAAGAAAAATCCAGTTGCAGGTGTCCTCTGCACTCTGCCCTCTTCTGGAAAACAAAGGACTTTGAACTTCTCAATGCAAGAAGCAAACAATACTATCAGATTTTATATTTTATTCAAGGACTAGAATTGTCAGAAATACCTGGGTTTTTTTAATAGGAAAAATAAGGTTAATGATTGAAGGCAGGAGGGGTGTTCCTAGAAGGAGTTGTTACCAGGTAATTCTAGCTCATTTACCTTTAGACATATCAGAAGCAACAACTCTCCATTTTCTAATCCTTATGTGCTTTCTAATGTGTGTGGTTTTGTTACTCATTCTCCCCTCCTCACCAGACTGTTTCCCTCTTCTGAAAAACAGCAAAACTAATGAAATAAAAATGTTCTCTGTAGATTTCATAGACATTGGAAAAGGAAACAGAGTCATGTGTGATGAATTTTGCAGCCAACAGAGGGAAGAGAAACCTTCATAAAAGATGGGGTGGGAGGATGTTAAGTCAACAGGCAGAATCAGGTTGGTCACTATTGAGCTCTCATATTACCTGACATGAGATAAAATATTGCATGCACCCAGTTGCAGGGAGGTACTCAAATATTAAGGGACAAGGAGACTTACCTGATACCTCCAGAGCCCTCCAATGTCATCAGTCCTTTCAAAGCAAACAGGTTCCAAGTCTTCATCCAGGCAACACTTGATAGAACAGAGCCCACAGACTCCAGCCCCAATCACACAGATCCTTTTCTTGATCATGGTCTTCAGAGATCTCCACCTTGCTTGGGCAATGCCACTTGTCCTAAAGAAAGAACAAGAGACAGAAAGCACAAATCTGTCAACAGTTCTTAAGAAAGACAGCTGCCATGACACTAAAAAAAGAAAAAAGAAAAATGCTGTTAACAAGAAGTGATTTGGGGGAAGCCAGATTTGGTTGCCCTCTTTAGAAGGAATCTCCTGCACAGGATGGGGCAGCCCTGTGTCTACAAGAACCAGAGCTGAGAAGTCCTCAGTGTCATCTTACTCTCTTTCCAGAAGCACCTGACTGATCCTTCAGCTGTGATCTGGAACTTCCTCATTCTGCTGTTAGGAAAGAAATATAAACTAGGAAAGTACAAACAGCAGCAATGGGCTGGTGCTGTTTGGCCCCACCTCCTTTCAGACAACACCTCAACCCACTCCTGGGCACCAATTCTCTCTCTCTTAATTGGAAGAAAACAGGGTTTGAATCTGCTTTGGGCAGGAAAAAAATCATCTACAACTTCTGTATTTTTCAGCTGCTATTGTTGGCAGTGCCTTTTTACTCCCTCTGGAGACAGAATAGTCTTCTAATCTCCTTTGCTTCCCTATGGGCTGCAACAACTTTTTAACTTCCTGCTTTTCCCTTAAAGTAATAAACTCCTATTACTGAAGTGAAACTATCAATAACTCCTAGTCAAGCTTGATACAAATACGTAAGTGCAGAACACCTACATTTCAGGGGATTCATTCAAACAGGTGATTCTACCCCCTTCTCTGTGTCCTCCCCACCTCATATACTTGATCCTCAGATCTACACTATTGGGAGAAATTTACTTTAAAATTCCCATGCATGTTTTAAACTGCTTTTAGCTGAACTATAGCAGGCTTCATTTCAACACTTTTAAATATAGTCAAAAATAGATCTTTGACTCAGACAATCATTTTACTCCATCAGGAAGATGCCTGTCCAATATGTGGTCTGAATTATATTAAAATATAGTTAGCACAGAATGGGGAACACATGGTCTCCATATCACCTAATGGGAGAATGAAAGAAAAGAGGATCAAAGGTGGAGTCATATGTGAGTATATATTTGTATGTGTATGTGTATATAAACACACACACACACACACACACACACACACACACACACACACCCCAAGTAATAAAAATGAATGTTTTCACTTGGGGGAGGGGGTGCACCAGGGATTGAACCCAGGGGTACTTAACCATTGAGCCATGTTATTTTTATTTTGAGATAGGGCCTAAGTTTCTTAAGGCCTCACTAAGTTGCTGAAGCTGGCTATGAACCTGTGATCTTACTGCTTCAACATCTTGAGCCACTGGGATTATAGGTGAACACCACAGCACCAGGCAGAATGTTTTTACTTTTTTTAATATTTATTTTTTTTAGTTTTCGCGGACACAACATCTTTGTTTTATATGTGGTGCTGAGGATCCAACCGGGCTGCATGCATGCCAGGTGAGCGTGCTACTGCTTGAGCCACATCCCCAGCCCCTGTTTTTACTTTTTGATGTGCTTCTGTCAAAACAATTATTCATCAAAATATTCCTTATCTTTCAATGGATACATAAAGATGACTTAGTTGATTAGTTTTTATTTTAAAGACCTGCTATTGGGGCTGGGATTGTGGCTCAGGAGTGGAGTACTCAGCATGGGTGGGACCTGGGTTCGATCCTCAGCACCACATAAAAAAATAAAGGCATTGTGTTAAAAATATTTTTTTAAAAAAGACCTGCTATTTAATTTTGCTCTGGATTCTCTTCTCACTTTGCTCCTGCAATATTTCACTAAAACCTTTATTTACTAGTATCTGTCCTGACAGATAATCATCAAAAAGAATGCTTTTTGTCACCAAGTAACTTTCCTTTTGTCTAATGCTACTTTCTCCTAGAAGAGAAAGTAATGTTCTTTTTTTCAGTACCTAAATGTATCTCCTTTCAGGTTTCAGAATTAGTTTCCTATTCCATCCCTCCCAAGACCTATGGTAACAGAAGGGCCCCTTGGTAGTTGATGCTTAAGCACAGGACATCTTATATACAACCATCCAGTTTCTATTAAACCATGGTTTACTGGGTGTTGGAGAAGGCAGACTGGTGTTCTTTCAGTTAATGAATCACTGAACCACAAGGAGCTACATCTGACTCTGAGAGAGACAATTGCTAGTCAAGCAGACCTACAATTCAAGTTGAGTGCAGTAGCTGGATGGGTTTGGGTTTGGTGTTGTCTTCCTTGGAGTGGGAATGAGCATATCAAGAGAAGAATTAACATAGAATTATAGTGGCTAGATGAGTAGCAGAAACTACTAGATACTCATTAAAATGTTTTCCCCTCCTCTTACAATATCATATATTCCTTTGGAATGGGGCTGCCTAAAGGGGAACTATATTTTCCTGGTTCTCCTTGAAGCTATGTGTAAATTTATGATTAAGTTCTCACCAAGGAATATAAGAAGAGCAAATGAGAGCAACTACTACCTAAACGTTTTTAAAAAAATGGCTTGATCTAGTCTTGCACTCCTTCTCCTTTTTTGTAGTTTGGAATGTAAATAACCAGGTAGACTTCTGGAAGCCAGGAATTGAAGTTGGTAGGTTTGGAATAGTCAGGGACCTCCATCCATGGAAAACAAGATGCTCTAGGACTAAGGGATAAACACCTTAGTGAAATAAGACAACCCAGGCAACTCTCAGTCTTATGGGGTTAACAGTTGTTCTAAAAAATTAGTAGTTAAAATTACACCAGTCTTCAAGACTATGGGAGTGAATAACATACCAGGAGACAGGCCTCCTGAGACTATGCAGTCAGCATATAGGCCAACTCAGGCCAGACAAACTAGGTCTGCACTATTCTGAAAATATTAATAGCAGACAAAAAACATGAAAAAATGTTCAATATCTCTAGCAATTACAGAAATGCCAATTAAAACTACAATGAGTTCATCTCACTCCAATCAGAATAGTAATTATCAAAAATATAAATAATAGTAAATATTGGCGAGGATGTGGGGAAAAAGGTTCACTGACCCATTGCTGTTGGGACTGCAAATGGGTGCAACCACTCTGTAAAGCAGTATGGAGATTCCTAAGAAAACCTGGAAGGGAATCACCATTTGACCCAGTTATCCAACTCTTCAGCTTATATTCAAAGGACTTAAAATTGGCACACTACAGTGCTGCAGCCACATCAATGTATATAGCAGTTCAATTGAGAATAGCTAAGCTATAGTCTAACTAGGTGCCCTTCAACAGATGAATGTATAAAGAAGCTATGGTATATATACACAATGGAATATTACTCAGCCATAAAGAATGAAATTATGGCATTTGCTGGTAAATTAATGGAACTGGAAACTATCATGCTAAGTGAAATAAGCCAATCCCCCCAAATCAAAGGCTGAATGTTCTCTCTGATATGCAGATGCTAATACACAATAAGGCAGGGAGAGGGAAGAATAGAAGTACTTTTCATTAGAAAAAGGGAAATGAAGGGAAGGGAGAGGATGAGAATAGGAAAGATAGTAAAATGAATTGGACATAACTTTCCTGTGTTCATATATGAATATACAAGCAATTTAACTCCACATCATGAACAACCACAAGAATGGGGAGGTATACTCCATGTATGTATAATATGCCAAAGCACATTCTACTGTCATGTATATCTGAAAAGAACAAATAAAAAAATTAAAAAGAAAGAAACTATTAATAGCAGAGACTTTCCCAGATAGTAAGTGCAACTCTAGGTATTGAGGGACAAACAGATGTGCAGAATAGTCATTGAATTGACCAACAGTTACCTTTACCTTATTTGCTTAGTAAAATGTATACACCCCAGAAGAAAAACTAAGGTGGAGACGTAAGCTGGAAATGAGATATGAGATATAACACACATGGCATGATGAAGGAGACAAAGGCCCAACTGAAGTTCCACCTCTGTAGATGATGACATTAAGAGACACACATATATCGATACACATACAGAAGCATTTTGAAAATGATATGAATTAATACTTACATGAAAGTTATAAAAAAAGGTGGTTTTATTTAGTGTTCACAACAGTGTTATAGGACAGCTTCCATTGTCCTCACTGTGAATTACTATGCATTATGGGCCTTTCAGATGCACTCAGATTGTTTAAGCCTTCTGATGTTGAAGATTATTTTACATGCCTTGTTTTTTTTTTTTTTTTTTTTTTTTTTGGTGCTGGGGATAGAACCTAGGGCCTTGTGTGTCCAAGGAAATCATTCTACCGAACTGAGCTATATTCCCAGCCCCTTACATGCCATTTTTGAGCATTTTGGGGTATCAAAATGGGGAACTTCCTTGGCCTAATGTTACACCTGTACCTCAGAAATACAAATATATATGTTCAACAGATATGTTCATTTTTCAAATGTAAGACCCAGGCTTTGTGAAGTTAGGGTATAAGATAAGCTTTGGGTTCTTTCCAACTAGAGGAAGAGGAAGGTCACAGAGAGTTCTTAGGAATTCAGTGTGGACTGAATCATGGGGAACATTTTGGCTTCATATAATTTTATTATTGATAACTTGCTCCTTATGTAAAAATTTGTCAGAAAAGTTAAATTCCAGCACTAGTAAACTCAAAAGTTACAGGGACTATCTAGGTGGATTGCATAAAAGTTTTCCTGCTGGACAGAGAAGAAAATGAGTGAAATTGCTTGTGACTACTTTAAAAAGTATTCAATTATAAAGGAAAAATAAAAGCTGGGCATGATGGCACATGCTTGTTATCATAGCTACTCAGGAGGCTAATGCAGGAGGATCACAAGTTCGAGGCCAGCCTTGCCAATTTAGCTGGACTACCCACCCACTCACCCAAATAAAATAAAATAAAAAGGGATGGAGGTGTAGCTCAGTAGGAAAGTGCTTATGTAACATGACCAAGACCTTGAATTCAGTCCCAGTACTGCAAACAAACAAAAAAGAAAAACAGAAACTGCTCTTTCAAACAAAAGACACACAGGCAAATTTCAGTGCAGAGCTGTCTACCATCTCTGACATGCGTCCTCAAAAATTTACTTGATAATATCTTAGTGTGTTCCCTTACCTTTGGTATTGAAAGGGAGTAAAAATTCTCAGAGGTGACCGAACAAGTGTTCTGTAAAGTACTTCTTGCTATAGTTAAATGTACATTCTCTTTGGTATATCTTCTCAGGCTCTTAGGCTCTCTGGGTTTTATAATTATTATAAATTTAATGCCTAAGGTATATAATTACATCAAAGTCAAATGTTGTCTTTCCTTTATTTTTTTTACTATTGATTTTATTTTTTAACTACATGACAGCATTACAAATCTTATTACACAAATAGAGCATTATTTTTCATATCTTTGTATATAAAGTATGTTCACGTAAATTTATGCCTTTATACATGTACTTTGTTTTTTTTTGCATTACAACTCTTATTACACATATATACCACAATTTTTCATATCTCTGTTTGTATATAAAGTATGTTGACACACGATTAGTCTTCATACATGTACTTTGGA